CTTAAATTAGAAACTGTCTGCAGACTTTGTTATCTAACTGTATTCTTGTATGTATGTATATACATATCTACATATGTATGTATGTATGAATGTTATACATGTCGGTCTAAGACAGGGCCAAACCTTTAGAAAATCCCTTCGTCAATATTTGCTTACCAGAGACAAGTCTTTGTATGAAAATGAACTACCTCTGTTATAGGCAATCTTTAGAAATTAATGAGGAAAATACATACATACATGTATGTGTACCTTTCTTAGGGTAAATTAAGTTTCTAAATAGGTATGTATAGGGAAAGGTGCTTTATATCTCAACAATATAATAGTATTTCATCAGACCCTCAAAAAAAATTTTTTTTAACCGAAAAAAAAAACACTATTGTTCATAAATTATTACGAGAACAAAAATTACACCACCCTTCTTCTAATACATATGTACATTTGTATGTACATATATATGTATTCCAGTGGCATGATACAGGGGGTCGATGAAGGCGACCGCACCGAAGCTGAGGGTCACTTTCAAAGAAATTTCCTGCATAACATCCGAGATCTTTAAAATTATGAAAACGGATGAAAAAGGTTTTTTTCCAGAAAAGGTATACTGACATAAAATTAAAAGTCTAAAATATATTCCATTTACGGCATATATTTTGTTCGTTTGAAATCATCGGTATTATTATATACGTCTATATACTCTCACTGCTATATATGTCGAAGCGGGCCGGATCGGACGACTATATCATATAGCTGCCATACAAATTTAAAAAAAAAAATTATAACTTGTCTGTTTTTCAACATATCATCATTTTTGGTATATGGCCATTTTTAAATATTTCAGAATTTCGGTTTTAATTTAATGAAAAGCGGACGACTGACAATTTCATATAGCTGCCATTGGAACGATCGGGAAATTAATAGAAACAAATTTTAACTTGGTTGTTTTTCAACGTATTTTCATCTTCTCTTAGATATGAGCTTTTATTATTATTTCAGAATTTTGGTATAAATTTTATGAAAAAAAACTATGTATGTATATCATATAGCTCCCATAGAAAGAATCGGTAGATGTAGAGAAAATGTAAAACTGTAATTGTCAAACTGTAAACATAATAAGTATTGGTCAAATGTAATGAAACTCTGTTTTGTGTGTGTTTTCAGCATTTAAATTTATAATATAAATTATTTTATGCTATGTATAAATATACAACTTTTATATATTTCCTTTTATTTTCCTCTCCAATTCTCTAAAATTGAAACTGCAAGGGTATACAATCTCTTCGATGCTGTTGCATAATTTTTTTCTGCATTCATTTTTTCCCATAGTCTGCTTAATTATAACGAAAATTACTTACAAAGTTTTGACTTCGTTTCCGCGGCCCATTTTACAAAAAAACTGATACAGATGACTTACATTTTAGAATACAAAAGAATTAAACTCCTTTCAATCACAGGCTTCCGACGAAAAGTAAAGTCAAAAGTGTGAAAAGTATTCAAATGAGCCAAACATTTTTTTTTATTTTTTATTTTTTTTTTTATTCATTCGCCAACGGAGCGACTCCTTAACTGGCTACATAAGTCATACATTTAATCCTAAGTTGTGTTTTGAGCTAAATATAAATACAATTGTTTTTTTACCAAATCTCTGGGGGAGGTTGGGTCCAATCGCATGTTAGGCGGTAATTTGTTAAAATATATTAAAGCCCTAGTAATAGGCTCATTTATGGCATAATTAGTTCAACAGAATGGATTAGAAAAAGGTTCCAAAGATCTTAGCTGCCTACTCGGAACACAAAAATGTACGAGCCTCGTACTACTACCTCGTACTAAATTTTGCCTGAAATCAGCTTGAAAATTGTAAGAATGGCTAAAACAGCTCTTCTATCTTCTAAAGAAGATAAATGCACTAATCGGCATTTAGCGGAATTAGAAGGAGCGGGATCGTGGAGATGAAAGGAGTAAAGGGCGAAGGATAGAATTTTTTTTTATACGCTCCAGTCGGTTTGTGTGTACGGCTCCTGAAGGGTTCCATATAAAGGAGGCATACTCTACCCTAGACCTTACGAAAGTAAAAAATAGGCTGAGTTTTGCGTAAGGGTCAGAAAATTGAACCGCATTCCGCCGTATAAGCCATACATTGCATATGCTTTGGGAATGATATAGTTAATGTGCTCAATAAGAAGAAATTTGGCATCAAACATTACACCCAAATCTAAGGCTTCAGTTCTGCAGGACAGCATACTAGAATGAATTGAATAGGAAAACATAGAGTTATTAAGCCGTTTGCTGTAAGTAACAGAGAAGTATTTAGCAAGATTCAAAGGCAGCTTATTACAAGAACACCAATTCCCAACTCTATACAAATCCTCCTGCAGCTTAGCACTATCTAGACCTGAATTCACTGACTTGAATATTTTTAAATCATCAGCAAACATAAGAAATTCCGAGTTTTTATAGCATGGCCCTATATCATTAATGAACAGGATGAAGAGAAATGGGCCCAAGGCACTCCCTTGAGGAAGGCCAGAAGTCGCAATATATGGATCCGAGGAATGACCATTACATACCACTCTATACCTGCGGTCATTAAGATAGGAACTTATCCAAATTTAGCACACATTTTGCGAATTTCACGATAAAAGCAAAATTTTGAATTGTTTGGTCCTGTTACTTTTTCCTTGTATATTATGAGTAAACAAATAAAGATTTAAAATAAAAAGAATGTATAGAACAAGAAAGGAAGCTAACTTCGGCACGCCGAAGTTTGTATACCCTTGCAGATATTATTTCATTACATTTTACCTATATTATTATGTTTACAGTTTGACAGTTACAGTTTCGCATTCCCAGCTTTACATTTTCTCTACATCTACCGATCGGTTTATATGGCAGCTATATGATATAGTTGCCCGATTTTTATGAAATTTCTACCAAAATTCTAGAATAATAAAAAAAGCTTATATCTCTGTGTAGATGAAAAAACTTTGAAAAACAACGAAGTTTTAATTTTTTCTATTAATTTCCCGATCGTTCCTATAGCAGCTATAAGATATAGTCGTCCGATTTTTATGAAATTTTTATTGAAAATCTAAAATAATATAGAATGGCCATATCTAAAAAATGGTGTAAAAATATTGAAAAACAACAAAGTTATAATTTTTTTTCTAAAAATGTATCGAACTTTTGTATGGCAGCTATATGATAAAGTCGTCCGATCCGGCCCGTTCCGACATATATAGCAGTGAGAGTATATAGAAGACTATATGCAAAGTTTCATTCAGATAGCTTTAAAACTGAGGGACTAGTTTGCGTAGAAACGGACAGACGGACGGACAGACGGACAGACGGACGGACAGACGGACATGGCTAGATCGACTCGGCTGTTGATGCTGATCAAGAATATATATACTTTATAGGGTCGGAAACGTCTCCTTCACTGCGTTGCAAACTTCTGACTGAAATTATAATACCCTGCAAGGGTATAAAAATATTCAAATGGAACGAATAAAGACGTGAAAATGTGAGAAAGATTTTTCAAACGTATTTAGTTGGCCGGCACTTTTAGTTTTAATTATTTTTTTTATTAGGTTCGTACTAGGCATAGCAAAAGTATAAGTCGGATTTAAGCTATTTGAGGAAAAATAAGTAGTTTTAAAGAACTCAGCAAAGAGATCGGCGATGGCCTGGTCAGAGTTTACTGTAGTGTTATTAAACGAAAGCGAGGAAGGATATAAATTGGGTTTACGTTTAGTGTTAACAAAGTTATAAAACTCTTTCGGGTCCTGCGTGAACTAAATCCTACAGCGAGTTCAATAATTTTTATAACTGCGTGTTAAGCGCGGTAAAATTTGACCGAGAACTAAGATAACTAGAAAGAGCAGTAAGAGAACCGGTACGTTTATAGTTAATATTAAGCCTTGACTTAATAATCATTAGGCGTGTCAGTTCCTTAGTTTACCAAGGTGGTTTACTAGAAACCGACGGATAGGTTAACGAAACACACGATAAAAAGAACGAATTCATGGCACAGTAAAAAATATCCACGGCGGAGGCCATGTCAGTGCACATGTAAAGATCAGACCAATTAAATTCGGAAATTAGGAAATTTAGCCTTTGAAAGTTTGCTTTGCGAAAGTAGCGAACTTTAGTGGCTGAGCGATCAGATTTACTCTTTACGACAGTCCCCAAATCGATGGTCACTTCAAAAGTAGGATGGTAAGGGTCTTCAGGAAGTGTCAATGGATCAACTCTTGTTAAGTTTACACCTAACATACAGGATCGGACACGAAACACAGATCTAGTAGTTAGTAGTAACAAAGAAATGTCAAGCAAGCCATCTATGAGGTCATGCTGTGGCGCAGTTTGAAGGACATTGGACGAACCATCTGATGACCAACAAGCTCCTGGTATATTGAAGTTTCCTAGAGTTCCTGGTTGGGGTTTATCTGAAAGCATGTTGAAAACGGCCTGAATTGCCGAAAGGTGCTTCCAATAAATAGGCTCTTCAGCAGATGGAGGAACGTAAGAACCGGTTATATATATAAACCTACCTGGAATTGATAATTTCACTCAAATAAATTCAATCGTCAACTTGAACCAGTTTGGAAATAAGGCTACAGTCAACGGCAATTAAAAACTCCACCTCCTGGGAAAGGCGGTCCAGTCTATAAGTTGTGTACTTACGTGGGTGAATTTCAGAGCAGAGAATCTCCGGCTTTAACCAGGTTTCAGTAAACACAATCACCTGGGGTGCAAACGAAAAACAAAAAGCCTCTAGTATTCTGATAGCAAAGTAGGAGGGATACTTCCCTCTGCACTGCAGTGAGACCTGTGGCAGATGTGAACTAAAAGTGTTTAAATTAAAAACTTTAAAATTGATTAAGCAGTTTTATAATCATAAAAATTATAAATAAACAAAAAATAATAATAAAATAATTGTTATTTTTTAACACATAATGTAACCCCCCCCCCAATTAACAAAAATAAATTGTTTATTTATAGAATTACAGATGGTACTACATAATTTTATTTATTCCTTATTTTATACATAAAACGTAAAGAGAACTCTATAAATAGAATACATGACTAAGACAGCCTCAAGAACAGGCACATTCAACAATCTGCATATCACTCCAGGTGGAAATCTTCAGCTTGTCGCTATGATTCTCATCAATATGCAATATTTCGAGCATTTCCAGCTTGGAAGGAGCACAACACGGCCGTGGAGCTCGACTATGATCCTCCTGCCATATCAGACTCTGTAACAGAGCATGATGATGGGCAGGATTATGACGTGGCGGGCAACGTCCGTGACAATACCCCGCATCAAATACTTTTGGTTGCAAAATAAACTCGAAACCTTTTATATCCTTAAAGGCCACATCCAATTGATTGCGACAGCATCTTTGGTGCAGTTTGTAGCATGAATTGTTCCATTTAACTGATGATCCCCCCCAACGGGTGTTATGATGCACGTACTGATCATGACCGCTTTTATTGTGTGTCAGCGTTATGTGATGGACTTTGGAGTCCGATTGCAGGGCTCCATGGCCAATTATATTTAAAACTGGCATAAGATTAAAGCGTTCTTCGTCGTCTGAGGAGGCTTTTTGAGCCGCTGGGCCCGTGTCGCTAAGTACGCGGGCACCCAGAGTCTTACATCGATCACACTGAATTTCAATGCCCAAATTTGGATGGCCTTTGCTAAGCCAATCCCTTACCGCTCTCGTCACATCAAACTCCAGCCATTGAGTTCGAGTCTCCTCATAATCCACGTTGTCGAATTGGATTTTACGCGACGTCAGCAATCTTCTTCGATTTGAGGAAAGAAGTTGATATACTTTAAGGTTTATCTGACGGTTTTGTGGGATTCTCCTCCCCTGAGGTTTATCAAAATTACAATTCTTATCATTACTTTCTTTTCTAAATTGTTTACGATGGGAATTGTTTCCCTTTGCTAGAGAAGAGCTATAAAGTATCATTAACCTCACATTCGCCTCATCAATTTCATTATGATGGAATTTTTGTTCGTTTATATTTGACAATGGAAAATGCAGGAGAATATTAGACACGGGTTTTCTGGCGTCGAGTGATCTTCTGTGCCGCCATCGTTTGTGGCTTATGTCATTGAATCGGTTACTAACAATACTAAATAAGTGCAAGTCACTTGTAGAAGACACTACCATGTGGCTATTGAGAAAGTATTCGGAATTTTCGTTATTAGTTCTTAAACGATCTAGGTATTCTAGGTATTTGTTCGAGTACTCAACTTGGCTTATATTGACCTGTAAATATAAATGAGATATATCCAATTTTTATTTACATGATATGTATTCGTTAAAACATTTTCAGGGGTAGAGCTGTCAAACAATCGATATTTTTAATTCTATTTTGATAATTTAAAACCAAGGGGAATATTTTATCGATTCGATTTGATTTTATTGCCATAGAACCATAACAATGGTGAATGTTTATTTCGAACTATCGATAGTAACAACTGAAGTGTGACAGCTTTACTTTTTTTGAGAATAACTTACCAACACTTTGTGTGTTATATTCCTAGATTTTTCTTACCTTTGTCATATCTGGCATCTTCTTCATGCCAAGGCCCTTAAGAACTAAGCGCCTTAGTTTGATTTCATCAATTTTGGTTCGTTTTTTTTTCTTAACGTTTACAATATGTCTGGATTTTCTAATTTTAGCATTACTTCTATTATATACATTCGTAAACGGTCCTAAACTAATCAGACTATAATTATTTGAAGTAGCATTACGTTGCTGGTTTTGGCTTTTGGACAAATTTGTAATTTTGGTATTGATTTCTTTGTGTGGCTGAGTGTATCCGCTTAGGGGATCATCGCTGTCTTGCTGTCTATTTTCGATATTTCTATTTTGTCCGAAGATCTGCAAATAGTTAACTTTATGACTATATCTTTTGTAATTATTACTAATTGCATTTAAATTTGACATTTGGTCGGTCACATTTTGACCATTTATTTGCTGTGTAAGCAAATAGAATAAACAAAATATAAACCATAACTTAGCAGATTTTTTAAACAGAATGCTACTAAATTTTTTTGATATATGCCGATAAAAAACTGTTATTGCGGATATGAACGTTTGTTTTTTGTTCTTAATGTTTGTTATTAACATGTTTTTTCCTCATGGCCACTTCATTTCCATATGATTAATTTTTTTCAAAAGGTTTTGCAAATTATCCTGAATGACCCGAGTTTCTCCAAGCTGTTTTAAAATCGTTGAATTTCTTTTTAAGTCAAAGTAATTTAAGGGAAATACTTTCGATATAAAACGTGTAATATGTATAAATGCGATCACAATTTCACGGAAAGTTGTTCATACTTTCATCTCGCTCTAGCTTTCTCTTCTCCTATCGACATTCGAATCCACACGCGCATCTATTGTGAACGTGAACCTGTTTGGGCGTCGGTTCCAAAACGACTAAAATACATATACACCACAGAGAATCTGCTTACTTAAGAGCGGCAAACGCCACATAAACAACACCATCACACCCACACACGAACTTGATACACACATTCTGGATATTTGCTTACACAAACACAAGCGCAATCACAGCATGTTTGTTTGTATGTTTATGCGTTGAAAAACATGAATTGCTAAATACCTGAAATAAAAATAGTCGCACATAAATTCATGCATACATATTAACAAATATATACCTATTGTATTCTATATAATCCGATATTTATAGCAACCTCTGGATCGCTAAATGACTAAATAAATAGAAAGTGTACTTTGTATGGAACAGCTGTTTCCAGCAGCCGATGTTCTTACCCATTTGGTCATTTGGTTATTTAGACAATAATTTTTGTACGCAAAATTAAACAAATTCATTTTTTGTCTTATTGGCCTGTGTTGTTAATTTTAGTTCAGTTGACGTTAGGGATGTCGAAAATATATCAAAATATCAATATATCGATATTTTTTGCGAAAAAATAAATATTTTTATCGTGATATATATATTTTTTTAAATAATCATTTATCATCGATATTTTTTTGAGTTTTCTTTGATATTTTAAGCGGACACACTTACATTTTACCTATACTTATTATGTTTACAGTTTTACAGTTACAGTTTTACATTCCTAGCTTTACATTTTCTCTACATTTACCGATCGTTTCTATGGCAGATATATGATATAGTTGTCCGATATTCATAAAATTTATATAAAAATCCTGAAATATTATAAAATGGCCATATGTCAAAATGATCAAAAAATGTTGAAAAACAGTCAAGTCATAATTTTTTTTCTAAAAATATATCGAATATTTGTATGGCAGCTATATGATATAGTCGTCCGATCCGGCCCGTTCCGACATATGTAGCAGTGAGAGTATATAAAAGACTTTATGCAAAGTTTCATTCAGATAGCTTTTAAACTGAGAGATTAGTTTGCGTATAAACGGACAGACGGACAGATGGACAGCCGGACATGGCTAGATCGACTCGGCTGTTGATGCTGATCAAGAATATATATACTTTATAGGGTCGAAAACGTCTCCTTCACTGCGTTGCAAACTTCTGACTGAAATTATAACAAAAATGTTCGCTTTTTTATTATTATTCGAGCATGTTTTTGTTATCTTTTATATAAGATAAATTTTTGTTCTGATATGATGGTGGTTATTGCTTATGCAGCTTGAAATTTAAAAAAAAAATATAAATATAACAAAAATATCAAAAATTTGATATATCGATATTTTTTTCTGATATATCAAATATCATTTTAATATTTTGTTTCAATAATAAATATCATCGATACAATATTTGTAAATATTTCGACAACCCTAGTTGACGTGCCACATTTCATGTATTCTGGCCATAAATACAAATTCAGCCAACTTTCCTTTGTTTCTGAATACATAAAATGCCGTCAGCTGGATACAGCTGTTACCGTACAATATCGACTGAATGAATGAAAATCGTAATTACAGTGTAGCTACAAAGTTGGTATAAATTTATTTATACAAAATGTATATTAATTTGCGAATGAGAATTTTTTTAAGCTATAAATTCCGGATACGTACCGTGATACATAGCCGATATTTTCAGTAATTTACTTATTGTTATAGGTTGTTTATGCCAATGCACAGAATTAATGTGTTGAATGCATGAATTTGGCCTCGCATAAACACAGTTACAGTTTAGGAATACCCTAGCCCAATAAGTTTTATAATGAAAATGTAATTAATCAAACTTTTCAAATTTAGTAGAGCCCTAAAAAATAAATGCGCATTGAGCCTTTTCCTAAAAAGATTCTTAAAGAAAAGCTTCTAACTCTAAACAATACTTAGTTTTAGATCAATCAACATTCCGACTGAGCCCCAAAGCTAAATATAAAAATAATTAAATATAGTTTTTTATTGCATGGGTCGGAAAACCGCACCTTTTTATTTGTTTTTTTGTTTTCAATATTTTTAAACGCAAAATTATTAGATTATATTAAATTCACAATTAAAATTATTAACTTTTACAACAATAAAAATATTTGCAGTCGCGGCGAAGATACTTGTACAATTCTTTGCTTGGTTTTAATTATAAAAATTATAGAGAAATAAAAACTAATTCACTTGATTAATTAATTAAGCAAAAGTAATAACCATACATTCTTTCTATACTAAATATACTAAACTTTTATAAAATTCTTACTTTTACGTAAATGTATTTTGTTTTTCTTTTTTTTCACATTTCTTTTGTCATAATATATATTACTATTTAAGTTTATTGTAAATTATGTAAAATTAAATATAATAAAATATTTACAGCTTAGAAATACTACTTGAAATACATAGAACGGTTTTAGATAATAGTGTCCAACTGACGAGCCTGATGTAAAATCTTTTTCTGATGTCCCACAAGGGTTATGCCCATATCCGATAACTGTTGGGCAGTTAAACGGGAAATCTAAGATGAAATAAAGTTTATATATATGAAATAAAATTTATATACCTATACTATAAAAATGTAGTTTAAAAATGTGTGTAACGAGCTATTTCGCAACGCACGTTCCAAATTGCATATTTTTGATAATGCTAGATGTGGTTAGATTTTCTTATTCTATCTTTTTTTTTAATTGTTAAAAATTAAAAACAAAATTTAGAATTAAATAAATAATAATTATATTAAAGTTAAACAAGAAAAGAAACTATTTTCGGCCTGCCGAAGTTTGTATACCCTGGCAGTTAGCAGTTGGTTGAATTAAAATAAAACTAACTAACTATATATATATTAATAATAATAATTTGGTTTCGGTAAAATTTAAAAAAAATCGAATGCCAACTTTTATTAACTAACTTATTACATATTTTATATATTTTTTATTTATTTTATATATTTCCATCTACCGATCGTTTCTATGGCAGCCACATGAAATATTCGTCCGATTTAATTTTATTTATTTAATTTATTTTTCAAAAAAAATGTTTCGATCGTTTCTATGGTAGCTATGTATATGATATAATCATCTTTGGCGCCCATTGCGACATATGCACCATACATAGTAGTGAGATTAGTTAGAAGATTAGTCATTCAGCTAGCTTTAAAACTGACTAGATTGCATAAAAACGGACAGACATGGTTAGATCGACTCGGCTGTTGATGCTGATTAAGAATATATATAAAAAAATATTATATATACTGCAAGGATATAACAAATAAAAAAGCAAGCATGTTAGTATAAATTTGTATATATATAGTGCTACAACCGCTATGTAAATTCCAATGTGTCTCACCTGTTGAGCATTGTTCAAGTTAGCCTCTTTGAAATGCTGGCAATATCTGGACATTTTTATGTGCTCCAGCCACAGGTCCGTGCTGATGAAGACATTCTGACCGCGCTGTTGCGCATCCAAAATGTGTGTATTATCCGATTCGGGAGAGTTTCTTGTGGTTAGCAGCGATTGCGGCTGCCTGGCCAAGTTGTCCAACGTTGAGACGATGCTTGCAAAGGTTGGACGATGCGTTCGCTGCTTTTGCCAGCAGTCTAACATTAATTGATAAAGCGCTTCGGGACAATCCATGGGTGCTGGCAGGCGATAGCCCTTCTCTATGCTTTTTATTACATCCTAAATATCATACATTTAAAATATCTACTAATGAAAGTGTCTCGAGTTATGTATTCATTACCTGATTTGACCAGTTCCAATAAGGACGTTCTCCGTAAGACATCACCTCCCATAAAACAACGCCATATGACCAGACATCTGAGGCAGAGGTAAACTTCCGAAAAGCAATTGCTTCCGGTGCCGTCCAACGTACAGGGATTTTGCCCCCCTTTACATAAAATAAAAATTCAAAAATATTAATATATTAAATATGTTATGGATTAAATATTAATACTTCAATTAAAAAATACATATGTATGGGCCCATAGTTAGAGATGTGAAAACATAGTTGTATATTATTATAGGGTCCTGTATTTTTTCGACTTTTTTCGGAATGATTAAGATATTAGGAATATAGTTTAAAAATTATGAATCGATCGAATCAAAAATGATTTAATTAAATTATAAACTTTGGATAACCAGAATATAATTTAGTACTCACCCTTGTTGTATATGCATCACTTGTATTTTCAATCTCTCGGGACAATCCAAAATCAGCAATTTTGCATATTAATTGCGCATTAACAAGTACATTTCGAGCTGCTAAATCTCTGTGCACATAATTCATATCACTCAGATAGGCCATCCCACTTGCAATGCCTCGCAGCATTACGATCAGTTGCAATGTTTGAAATTTTCCATCATTGACCCGCAAAAAAGTGTCCAGGCTACCATTCTCCATATATTCGGTGATTATCATGACGGGATTGGAGCGTGTCACCACGCCTTGCAGGTAAATGACATTTGGATGATCGAATTGGCCCATAATGGAGGCCTCCGTTAAGAAGTCACAGCGGGCCTTTTCCGAAGATCCTTGAAATAAAGACATATTTTAAAATTTACGAGGGTAGGCTGATAAAAAGTCGGCCTTACAAAGAAAATACGTTTTTTTTTAAATTTTTCTTTTTTATATTTCAACATAATCTCCTTTTAGACGTATGCACTTGGACCACCGATCCTCCAGTTTCCCAATACCTTCTATAAAATAGGAGTTGTCCAGGTCCTCAAAATAGGGGTTTGTTTCACAGACTACCAGTTCATTTTACTGAAATTTCTTACCCCCAAGCCATTTTTTTAAGTTTGGAAATAAATAATAGTCACAGGGTGCTAAATCTTGAGAATAGGGTGGATGGGATAGAATTTCGTAGTGCAATTCACACAATTTCGACATGGCGACAAAGCTCTTGTGAGCGGGAGCATTAACCTGGTGAAACAAAACTTTCTTCTTCGCCATGTGCGGCCTTTTATTTCTTCAGATCCAAATCAAATCGTCCCAAGAGATTGAAATAGTATTCTCCCGTAATTGTTCTGCCTTTTTCCAGATAATCCACAAGAATTACACCTCGGGAATCCCAGAAAACCGTTGCCATCACCTTATTGGCCGACAAACCGATTCTTGCCTTTTTCGGTGCCGTTTCTCCAGTTGAAATCCATTGCTTTGACTGTTCCTTACTCTCTGGTGTATGGTAATGAATCTAGGTTTCGTCAACAGTCACAAAACGACGAAAAAATTCGTTTTGGTTTGCGCAATCTGCAAGCGGTTGCGTGACAGCACGATATTCGATTTTATTCATATTGACGAAATGCAAAAGTGAATACGTTAAAAGTCTCGCCAAAATTACCTGTGTTGATAAAACCGCATGAAACTTTCACAGTAATCAGCTAATAGAAAACACTAATCGAATAAAATATTTATGAATTAAAAAACAATTTTTTTCTCTGTTAGGCCGACTATTTATCAGCCCACCCTCGTATAAAACAAAATACCTGAAATATGTTATTTTACATATGTACATATGTATATCGATATTGTATACTGATATTTGAGGTTAAAGCCGATTAGTACAGCAATATTTTAATGTCCCATTGTCATGGACCAACTCGTAATCAAACCTTTCGTAGTCTTCAGACTCTACTTTTAAATTAAGACCATAAAAGGCTTAGTTTTTTTTTTTAAACTGGTAACATAGGCTATCAAAATTAAAGAAAATCTCAAAACAAAGAACCGGAGATTTGATGCACTGTACTCAAAACCGACCTAATACTGTTTTCCCACACAGTGCATTTGTGAGGAGCGTTTGGGATTTTAAAAAAAAGTGAAACTCGTGTTCCCACACACCGTCAAAGCACATTCACCATCCGAACAGCTGATCGATCAGCTGTGGCTCATAAAAACGTAAACAAAGTTGGGAGTTGCAAATTTGAAATGGAGCATTTATAGGGTCTTCCCACACACCGTCAAAGCACATTCACCGTCCGTTGAACAAACGGTCCATAAGGTTTTGCCGTTCCGAATTTTCCCAAATGGACCGCCGTTAGAACACGTTAAAATCTAACCACGGTTTGTGTGGCGATAGTTTTTCGGTGCAACTCTGAAAATTTTACCATCACTACGAAAGTGTATACACACTTGGCGAGGAACAAATGAGATATGGAATTTAAAATGTGGCGCCAAAGCTACAAGCATGCCCAAAATAGTTATTGGCGTTTTTTCTGTATATTCTTGCCCCAATATGTCCCCAATTGTTACTATTTAATATAAACCGCCTGCCTCTATCTTATTTTAAAGATTTTGGATGCCTATACCACCTATAGACACTCTTCGGGGAATTTGCTCTTTGTTAGAGAAAAATCATTCGAAAAACTATCGCCTTACTAACGCCAAACAAACCGTGGTTAGATTTTAACGTGTTCTAACGGCGGTCCATTTGGGAAAATTTGGAACGGCAAAACCTTATGGACCGTTTGTTCAACGGACGGTGAATGTGCTTTGACGGACCTTCGGAAAAGTATATTCAACTTCTTGGTTCCAAAAAGCTGTCAGCCTGTGAAATCAAAAGCTTAATCATTATCTGAAAACTTTTCTACCTAAGCAAAAACCATAATTTTAAATAACCACTGACAATTCTATGAACACCAATTTTAAGTGTTTTTGTGTAAACGAACGAATAAAATATGTTTACATGTAACAGAAAATTTTGGTTTTGTCATTATTATATTACACAGGCCGACAAAATCTCAAAAAGCCGCAGAAACAAGAAACGGAATACTTTTATAAAGATTTTCGATACGATGAACTTGAATACGCCCTCCGAAAATTTCCTTTACGTCAGGTTTTTGACATTTTTTTCAAAACAATAAAGTAAATTACTGTACTTGCACTTCAAAATCAGTCTTTTAAATTTTGAATTATTTTTACGGATATTCAAGATATCACCTTTGAATTTATATCGTAATTTTTCCATATACATATATTGTCAAATTCTATGCAGAATTTAGAATTAAGAAACAAATGTATATATATATTTAAAAGACGAAATCTTGGAGATCAAATACAGTTATTACAAAGAGAGAGAAAAAAAAAAACAGTGCTTGAAGATGCTGTAACGATTGTTTGAAAAACATAAAAGGTATTAAAAAGTTACAGCACCTAAATTCTTTTTTATGTTCAAATATTTAAAAAAAATCTGACGTATAGGACATTTTCTTAGACCAGATTTGAGTTCAGCGTATAAAAACAGTCGGAAAAGTTCATAAAAAGCGGTCGACCTGTGTTACAGACTTTGCAAGAGGTTACCGCTTTTTTAAGTAGAAAAATTGCAAGTGTCTCAAATTGTTTTAAAATTAAGGTAGGATTTTTACTGCTATTCCATGAACACATTGGCTTACACAACGCATACGCTTACCTGGTTTTAGGGTCTTTATGGCTACATCAATGTCTTGAACAAAATTAGGTGGAATCTTCAAGCGACCTCGGCAAACGTCTCCAAATTCTCCGCCACCTTTAAATTTAAACGCAATTTTTTATATTACTATATAAAATGAATTTATAATAACATAAATACACACCGATAATAGCTTCGATAGTTATGTAGTTGGCATCGATTTCCCTGGCAAATTCTCGTATTGCCTGATTTGGATCTTCGTATGTGTGCGGGTCTATGTAGCATCTGCTATTACCAAAGAGGGGCGTTGTCACTAAAACACAAGTTTAACATTAAGCATTAAAAGAGAGCAAGAGATGCAACAGATCGCTATATATCTTTTAAATTGTATTAGTATATTATATAAATATATTTCTCAGAAATCTTACGTTAACAATAACAAATTATAAATAAAATCTTCTAGGAAACTAACTGGTAAGACGAAGGTTTTAAACCCTTGATGTTGAATTGAATCGTTCTTAAGGCAGATAGATGATATAGTCGTTCGCATTTAATAAAATTAAAGAAAACATTTCTGAAGGGCATATATGCGACATAATAAAGTGTATGTATTATTATTTAGTTTTAATTTTTTAATCGAGAATATGACATGATTGACTTCTTCACTGCCTTGCTAATGTCCTTACTTTCGAAGAGAAAAAATAAAACAAAACAAAAATTGTTTATTGAATCGTAAATTGAACACATAAGTGTCAATATATTTTGGAATTAAAAAACTCCCATGAAACATGCAAAAATTCATTTCAACAACAAAATTCTTAAACAGATTATAGTAAGTATTGTACACACAAAAATATATATAAAAAGGTAAGCAATAGGTTATACCGTTTAAGTGAAGGGTTTTGACAATTGGAGTAGTATCCATAGAATTAACTAAAAATAAAGAAAAGGAATAATATATAGTTTATATATCAAAACACACAAAATTGTATATGGATTTGTTCTGAAAATTAAATAAGGTTAAATTCGGGGTAAGCAGGCATGGAACTTTATTTTAAAAAATTTTAAGAAAATTTAAACCCAAACAAAGCAATTTTTATAAGTGCTATTAGCGATCGATGTTAACTATTATTAAATACATTCTGTGTTCCAGTATTTAAATTTAATGTATCAGGGCAGTGTATTTCTTTGTGTTTACACTTACCTTCATTGCTGGCATAATCCATCGGCAAAGGCAAATGATTCGTAGACTTCTTATCAAGTTCATCCTGATGCTTTGAACGCATAAAATACACAGTAGCCACAATAAATATAACCAGAAATAGTACCCCAGAGACAATGGCACCGGCAATGAATCTTATTTGCACTGAGTCGTCATAAACTATGGAATTGGATAATATAAAATTGAAATAAAATTAGAAAACTTACATAGGAAAGATGTGTGATCCGGTTATCATAAATAAATATAAATATATAATATATAAATATATAAGTATATAAATATATAAATATATAAATATATAAATATATAAATATATAAATATATAAATATATAAATATATAAATATATAAATATATAAATATATAAATATATAAATATATAAATATATAAATATATAAATATATAAATATATAAATATATAAATATATAAATATATAAATATATAAATATATAAATATATAAATATATAAATATATAAATATATAAATATATAAATATATAAATATATAAATATATAAATATATAAATATATAAATATATAAATATACTTAATTGTTAAGATTATTTACCTGAACTAACGGCTTGTAGAGTTTGGGCATAGATCATATTACTATAAGAACCGAAACCATTTAACGTTTTACAACGAACTTGAAAGCCATATTCGGTATTTTCCACAAGTCCTTCAATGTGAGCCTTTGTGTCCTTAGTGTTCAAAGCCGTTTTGTTAATCAAATCAAGTTCAAGTTTCGGAAACCAACGAACTTCGTAGAACTCAAGTGGATTATCAATTTGAGTGGGTTTATCCCACTCAAGATCCGCATCCTTGCTGGTGATGGACAAGACACGCAAATTAAAGACTGTCGACAGTAATACTGATTCTGTTGTAAATACAATTTCAGCATATTGTGTCTTAATTTCATTCAAATCCAATGGAGGAATGTTCTGCGTCGTCGAAAAATTGTTAAATACATAATCATTCGATATATCAGACGTTTCATTGGAGTGCAGTGGCTCAGTGACAAGTGTCACGCTGTTTGTGGCATGAATCTGGACAGTATAGGTTGTGACTGGTTCTAGATTAGTTATCGTAATTTTTGTTTCGTTAAACGTATCCGTTGCGGGATTGTACATAACGTTAGAGCCACACGTACTACATCGTATTTTATACACTATATCACTGCGATACTTTTGGGCCTTCGTAGGTTCTCCCAAGTAAGATTCGTTCTTGTTGGCGTTGATAGCACTCCAGGCTAGTATGGCACTTGTTTGATCCACAAAAAGCAATGTAAGATTGGTTGGAGCTGCCGGTGGACTGTAACAAGGCATGTGTCGGCCATCGCGCGGATGTCTGTAGTATCCTGTGATACATTCACAATATGCTGACCCTGCCTTTAAAGCCTTCGAATTCGGTGGACATGCAGTACATTTTTGCACTTCCGAAGATTTGAATGTACCAAGGGGACATTCTGAAATTATATTCAAAGAAGATAATTTGTTTAAAATAAATCCAGAAAATAAAGAATCTTTATATGAAATCGGACGACTATATCATATAGCTGCCATAGAAACGATCTGTAGATGTAGAGAAAATGTATAGCTGGGAATGTAAAACTGTAACTGTCAAGCTGTAAACCTAAAGTATAGGAAAAATGTTATGAAACTCTGTTTTGTGTGTGTTTTCAGCATTTTTTGTATGCTATGTATAAATTTACAACTTTTATATACAGGCCTGTTCTAGTTTTCACTCGGAAGTGAATTTGATGACATTTGCGGATTTCCCTTTAACATAAGCGAATTTCCCTTGTTGATGTAGGGACCATTTGTAAAATTTTCCTTATTGCCTTTTATTCCCAAGGAATGTCAGCTGGCCGTATAGACAAACGCGTTTATTTTGCCTGAGTTTTGTCAATAAGGGGCTAATAAGATTTTGGCTCGCTCTACCGTACAACCTAAGTACGTTTATGGGTTACATTCATTACATAAAATTAAAGGTACAAGCATTCTTGGCCGTAAAATGTTAATTTAAAATTTCAATCATCTGTTTTCGGCGCAGTACTGAAAATGTTCGATAAGAAGTATTGGAAAACTTATGCGGATGTCAGCTGTTTTGCCCGTCCCAATTCACCCTTTGTGTAGCTTCTGGCAATATCAGTTTTTCCATAAATAAGATGAAAATCTTATCCTGCGCTTGATTTGTATGCTTCCCCCCAATAGAAACTGTTAATTAAATAAACTTTTGAGCGTTATTTTCACTTACATGGTTGAAATTTAAATTGCGTGCGCTAGTCATCTGTTCTTAGGCAGTGTTGTGAAATTTCTTACAGATTGTGTTGTAAATGCAGCTCATAAAAGATGTGCAGAGGTACGGAAAAAAATACCCTTCACATCACGCACAGTTAGTACAATAATTTTAAAAAAATATTTTGAACAAAAACTATTTCTTTAGCATTGGTTAATAATAGTTATTATAATATTAGAACAATTAGTACAACGATTGTTTAAAATTAACATGAAACATATTTAATCGCTTCTATTTTTGTATGCTGATAACCCTTATAGGATCTTCCCACACACCGTCAAAGCGCATCCACCGTCCGTTGAACAAACGGTCCATAAGGTTTTGTCGTTCCAAATTTTCCCAAATGGACCGGCATCAAAGCGCATCTAAATCTAACGAACGTTTGTTAGGCGATAGTTTTTCGGTGCAACTCTGATTTCTTCTTCTTAACAGTGAAAATTTGACCAACACTACGAAAGTGTACTTGGCGAGGAACAAATGAAATATGGAATTTAAAATGTGGCGCCAAAGCTACAAGCATGCCCAAAATAGTTGTTGACTTTTTTTTTTTGTATATTCTTGCCCCAAATTGTCCCCAATTGCTACTATTTAAGGGGGGACATCTGAGTAACTTTTTTTAAAAATCGAAAATTTTTTTTTTGCTTAAAAAATACTTTAGGGTCTTAAAAATAACATATCAAAAGATAGAGTCCGGCCAAAGTTTCTAAGTGTCGAAATTTTCAATTCTGCGGCGATGCCTCACATGTAATCATATACGATTTTAAAACTTTAAACGCGTTTTTCTCAAAACCACTTTTTTTGAGTTGGCCGAAAACATAACTCGAACAAATCTTAACCGATCGATCTGAAATTTTGACAGTATATCCAAAATACCTATGGCTATCGACGTAGGATTTTTTTTTTTGCTTACTTTTTTTTTTATCAACAATTTTGTGACGTTTTTTTTCATGAAAATTGAACATTTTATTTAATCACTCACCATTTTGCAAAAAAACAAAATATCGAAAAAATCCTACGTACGTCGATAGCGGTTGAGATATAGAAACTAACTAAATTTGATTTTTTGTTCTAGATCAAAAACTAAGGACGTTAGGTTTTCGGCCATGGACCCCTTTCAAAAAAATAGGGCCTACGAAGACATGATGCACAGCCGCCATTTTGTTTTCGATTTATTAACAAATTTATTTTGTAGTTCACATCTAACATTATCAAACCTACTTTAAAATTTTTCGATTGGCTTTTTCATTTGGCCAAAAAAAATTCTAGAAAATGGGCTTTTTTTTCCAGTTACTCAGATGTCCCCCCTTAATATAAAACGCCTACTTCTTCTTTAAGTATAGATTTGGGAAGCCTATACTACCTATTCAACATCCGAACAGCTGATCGATCAGCTGTGGCTCATGAAAACGTAAACAAAGGCTGTCGAATTGGCAGTTGCAAATTTGAAATGGAGCATTTACCAACTATTTTGGCTGTTGTACAACAGCATCAGAATTTATCCGCACTAAATTTAAATGAATTAAATGACAAGGAATTTTAGTTTTTCTAATGATTTTTCTCTAACAAAGAGCAAATTCCCCGAAGAGTGTCTATAGGTGGTATAGGCATCCAAAATCTTTAAAATAAGGTAGAGGTAGGCGGTTTATATTAAATAGTAACAATTGGGGACATATAGGGGCAAGAATATACAGAAAAAACGCCAAGAACTATTTTGGGCATGCTTGTAGCTTTGGCGCCACGTTTTAAATTCCATATCTCATTTGTTCCTCGCCAATTTGTTTACATTTTCGTGGTGAATGGTCAAATTAAGAAGAAGAATCAGAGTTGCACCGAAAAACTATCGCCAAACAAACCGTGGTTAGATTTTAATGTTGAACTAACGCCACTCCATTTGGGAAAATTCGGAACGGCAAAACCTTACGGACCGTTTGTTCAACGGATGTTGAATGTGCTTTAATGTTGTGTGGGAAGACTCTATAATTCATTTTAAGTTAGTGCGGATAAAATTTGACGTAATCCTCGATTTTGCTGTTGTACAACAGCCAAAATAGTTGGTAAACGCTCTATTTCAAATTTGCAACAGCCAATTCGACAGCCTTTGTTTACGTTTTCATGAGCCACAGCTGATCGATCAGCTGTTCGGATGCAGATGCACTTTGATGCTGCTCTGTGGGAACACGAGTTTCGCATCTGCGAAAAATCCCAACCGTTCCTCACAGATGCGATGTGTGGGAAGACCGTATTAAGGGGGGATATATATGTAAGCGGTCAAAATTTTGCCATTTTTCGTGATTTTTTTTTTTTTGCTTATCCCCCCTTAAATGGTCCCTCTCAAATACAACACAGTGGTGGCGGATTAGCAATAATGTTTAAGGTTAGAATCGAACCGATTTTAAGGTGCACCCACAAAATAAATATTTTTAAATCAAGTATGTTAGCATTAGCTAATTCAATTATGCAATAATGTTCTCAAAACCTTAAGGAATAAAATACAATAACATTTGTAAATAAAATAAAATAATTAATTTCTGATTTTGCGGATTTGAATCCGCCGGCCCAATGGCACACGCTAGGTTTCCGAACGTTTCGCCTGCAAATTAACAGACTTAACAGAGCGAAATACGAATCCGTTAGGATTTTATCGGAAGTGAACACTAGAACAGGTCAGGGAAATCCGAATCCGAATAAATTTTGCGGAAGTGGAAACTAGAACAGGCCTGATATATTTTTATACCCTTGCAGGGTATTATAATTTCAGTCAGAAGTTTGCAACGCAGTGAAGGAGACGTTTCCGACCCTATAAAGTATATATATTCTTGATCAGCATCAACAGCCGAGTCGATCTAGCCATGTCCGTCTGTCCGTCTGTCCGTCTGTCCGTTTCTACGCAAACTAGTCCCTCAGTTTTAAAGCTATCTCAATGAAACTTTGCATATAGTCTTCTATATGCTCTCACTGCTATATATGTCGGAACTGGCCGGATCGGACGACTATATCATATAGCTGCCATACAAATGTTCGATATATTTTTAGAAACAAAATTATAACTTTGCTGTTTTTCAACATTTTTGCACCATTTTTTAGATATGGCCATTTTATATTATTTCGGAATTTTGGTAAAAATTTTATGAAAATCGGACGACTATATCATATAGCTGCCATAGGAACGATCGGGAAATTAATAGAAAAAAAATTATAGATTCGTTGTTTTTCAACGTATTTTCATCTACTTCGGGATATAAGCTTATTTTATTATTCTAGAATTTTGGTATAAATTTCAAAATAATCGAACAACTTTATCATATAGCTGCCATATAAACGATCGGTAGATGTAGGGAAAATGTAAAGCTGGAAATGCAAAACTGTAACTGTCAAACTGTAAACATAATAAGTATAGGTAAAATGTCATGAAATAAGATCTGCAAGGGTATACAAACTTCGGCGTGCCGAAGTTAGCTTCCTTTCTTGTTTTTCTAAATATTTTACCAAAATGGCTTGATTATTAAAGATCTAAAAGCAATCTGCAAGTGTATACAGACTTCGGCGTGTTAGCTTCCTGTTCTTGTATATATGTATATACATTTATATATATTCAGGTTATTCCCAAACCTAACCTAAATGACTAAAAACATTTGTAATTGAGAACAGCTTATACGATATTTTCAGTCATTTTGCGACTCCGAGATCGCTGACTGAAAAGCCAGGGTGGCTAAAGAGTTCAACGTTGGCTAAGTATCACGATACATCGCCGATATTTGCTGTAATTAAGTCCTTCAGACGTCAATGGTATACCCAGATTGTGAAAATCGGCACATACAGAAACGCACGCCATTTCAGACAATATTCCATCTTAAATACCAATCTAAAGTTATCGTCGACCTGTGGTTTTAATTGCAGATTCCATAATCGTATTTTATTCTAAAATAGTTTCTGTTTTTGCGGAAATAACCAATGGTTAGGCAAATCACAGCGTTAACAGGGGAAAATTTAAATCCCTGAGGATTTTTCGGAAGTGTCATATAGAAAATTCCAAGGAAATAACTTCCGTACTAATTTTCTGAACTGTATCTGGAACCGAGCTGTACATTTGGAACTAATTATACGTGTAAAGTAAGAGAAAAAACATGAATACTCACCTGTACAAGTTTTATTCAAATTATTCGGTTCAAAGCCAACTTTACAGCGACAACCGCCCGTAAGTATGGTCCATTTGCCATCACCTTTGCACAGGTAAGTTGGTGGCTCATAGGGCTCAGCATTTTTCACACAAGTTCCGTTCTGCTTTTCAATTATCGTTATTTCTCTGCCCGTTGGGGTTTCATTGAAATGCGCAAAATTCTCGGTGACAGCGGGACAGGTGATATAGTAAACTTTCACTGCGAGAACACTAATGCAGGCGCCCTGGTCGCGAAACGCGAAATACACTCCCTTCTTATTTACAGCTATGCTCTTGACCTCCGTGTTGATGTCGACATCAGAGTTCTGATTGAAACGACCTTCTCCGGCCGCAATCCGGGCAATTAGTCGGTAACTATCAGTTTGCCAAGGCGGAGGCTCTCTGGTGGCCGCATCAAACTCGTAGAAAAGTAAACTGAATGTTTCCTTACATGACAAAGCATTTCCTATAAAAAAAGGGTAATTTCAATTCTAAATTAGTCATTTTGCGTATTCATTTAAATTAAATTAAAACAAATATAGCGTTTGTTCGAAATCGGGTTCTAATATTTCGAAATTTGTCTCAGGATACGCTAAATTCTTTCAAATTTTATTATTTGGGGGGTGGGGTGTAAGGTTAATTCGGTATGTCCAAGTTTTACATCGATCATAGCAAAATTCATAAAAAAAAACTTAGGTCGTTTGGTGTTCAATGTATGAGAATTACAAAGTTTAAAGCGCTCTTCTGAAAAATGCCATTTTGAAAATCTGCTGGACCAATCGGTTTTGTACTCACGTCGAGTTCTTTTTAATGTTCAAATTTATTATATTTTTTTTTAAACAAATTAACTAATTTTTTTACTCAAAAATCGGGGTTTCGACTTCCAATTTTGATACAAAATCGAGAACAATTTTTAAAATAAAAACGCTACGTGAGTACCTCGAGACACTTAGCCTTTAACAAATGTATTATAGTTTTTTTGAATCGGGTGACTTTGTGGACAGTTAGGATGTACACCGCAAACCAATTTTTTTTCGAGGCGACTCGAGAGATTCCCTAGAACTTCTATACCTCTAAATATTTTTCAATACTACATTTAATACAAAAATGTTTAAGTGTTTTTTTATTTTATGGTATTTAATTTAAGGATCCATTCTGGTTAGTTAAGCCTAGTACTCTGACGAGAAAAAACCGCTGTATAAATTTAGACAGCGGCCAAACTCCATATAAAAAAAACGGTGTCGAAAAAAAAGAAGAAGAACTTTTAGACACGTCGTTTTTTTTACTCTGACGAAAAGGGGAAGGGGAAGCCCATAATATGGAATTTAACCCACAAAGGACATTTTAATGCCATATTTATTAATATTTTTAATATTTTTTTTGAATATTTGTTTACAAACAGCTGTCCATTGTGACCAAGGAAAATCCTTAAACGCCATAAAAAGTACATTTTCATGGAATTTCCTTAATTTTTTTGGTCACACTAGCTCGGTAGCGAAATAAACAGCGATTCCGCTGTCTAATTTAGACAGCGGGTTTTTCTCGTCAGAGTACTAGGCTTTAAATAAAAATCTAATTTTTTTTTTGCATTTTTTCTATAGTTACAAGTGTCTAGAATATCATTCTAAAACGGCAAATCGAAATACGTAATAGTTTAAAAGTTATGAGCCTCCGAGCCGGCCGACTTAAAGGAGGTACAGAGCAAACATAAAACTTTAAACGCGTTTTCTGCAAAACTACATTTTTCGGGCTGGCGACCGTAATATCTCAGTCAATTATTAACGAATCTTAATGTTTTTTTTTTAAATACGCGTAATGAAGCTGTCAATGGAATAGACTAGAATTATATTGGATTTTTAATCAACAAAAAAGTGAAGAAAATTTGCACGAAAACGAAAAAAAAAATTTTGAATCGCCGCCATTTTTTTATTTTTTATTAAATTTTTATAATTCTAGTCTATTCCATAACCACATTCATACTAAAGAAGAAAATCTTTGAATTATTTGTTTTAGGCGATTTTTACGTCCTGCAGGACGGTCGCCAAAGGGGTTCCTTTTTTGGGCATGGGCTTACGTCGCCCTGTGTCATGCTTCAAGACATGCTCTAAAATTTTTGAAATTTTTGCTAAATCATCTCTAAACCATGAGAAATATATGTGAAAAGTTTGAACTTTCTGTCTTTCCTTTGTCCACAAAAAATTCCTAAAGATTGCCCATTTTTTGGCACAACTAACTAGAATGGACCCTTAATAAACTAACTTTGGCCGCACAAATAAATTTCTGAAAAGTGGGACGTTTTGCACAGAATTAACCTTAATAAAATCGTTTTAAAGAACTTCTGAGACTTCTGCACTTTACGATAATTTCAAAATATTGATTTTCTCTTGATATGAGGATACTGGGGATATACCCCGTTTTTATATAGCTGTCTTATTGCTTACCTGGAAATAATGAACAATCTCGTATGGTGAATTGTATTTCAATATATAGTCTGTTTGCTGGTCCACGATCAATAAAGGGCGACCACAGCCAGTTGTTGACATTGTGATAGGCTACATCGCAAACCACATAGCTTCGCCAGTTAATGCCCTTTACGAAGTCTGTAAATGATTCTTCAACCCACTGAAAGTCCAAAATCAAAAACCAATTAACAATCGTTCGCTCGAAAACTAAAATGTTCGTATTCGTATATAAGATTATTTTAGAGTAATAAACATTTGGTAAAAAAAAAATCTAAATTCAAGTGATTATCAATGGACACGAAAAGGATGTGGCTCGTAAGGTCGGCCAATTGCGTATCCAGCAACGCCAACATTTTAAGCAACTAATGCATTTAAATAGAATATAAATAATATGTAATTACCCCTGGCGTCTGGGCTTGAGGACCATAGGGATACCTTGTCCATTCCAAAGTTGCTTCTCTAGTCGTATCCAAAAGAACAACTGCCAAACATAAAATTTTTATTACAAGCGATCTTAATAATATTGCATTTTACGTACCTTGATCGGCATGGGTCAGTTGGAAGTTAAACATAAATAAAATAAGCCAACCTACTCCTAATATCATTCTTAGAACAGTTCTGTCGTGGCCTCGTGCTGGAATAAATCTTCTAGCATCCGCAGACAGCATTATGCTAATGATTTGATTTTGAAAAAGGGAAGTCGGACGATTTCTTTTGGAAGTTAAATGCTTATTTGATGATTTATGGCATTCCATTTTATGTTTGTTTTTTTTTTCTAACGTATTCCAAAGAGGCCTTTTATAGACTGGAACTGCCAGTAATGGCTTCCAGTATGTAGTTTTATTTGTATTTTGTTAATTTGGATGACCTTTGAAGATTATGCCAATTTTTGCTTAATATTGACAGCATCTCGCAAAACTTTTCAACACTAAAAATAACAAGGGGAAAAATGTTTAAATAAAAAAATGTTAGTTGAAGCATTCAATAATTTAGTCTTTTGCATATGAATTTATATAATTACATTAATTATTACTAGAACAGGGTGGTACATCTTTCACTTTCTTGTCCTTTCTTGTAGTTAATATGAAACCGTGTGCATTATTTAAATACCAGCCATTTACAATCTAATTATTTTGCTGTGTAAGAATTGTTTTAATTTATCGATTATTATTATTCTTGGATTTATTTGTCCTGCAATCACATTGCATATATACATGAAAATGCATACATACATATGTACATGTTTATTATAACGCTACAGGATGCTATATGATTGATTTTCGTAAATTGTTTATTCTGTTAAAGGTTTATTAGGATTGTTGTTCTTTACTTATTTAATGAACTTGCGAGTTCCACATTAATTAGTTTAGTTTTGAAAGGATTGTATTTGTTTATAATTGTATTTCAAACACCGTTTAGTTTATGTATACATACATCCATATGTATATGCATACATCTGTATACGGTATACACACTTTTTTCAGAGAATCTCCATCTCCGCTCTTGAAATTAAAGTACTTCGGTTAGACGTTTTTGATTAACATTTATGTTCTTTATAAAATAAAGTAGTAGTAAGTAAATAGTAGCTTAGTAGCAAAAATGCGACTGATTTTGTTTGCATATTTATTGATGCGTCCTTTTTAAAAGTAAATGCACAATACACTTCCTGATCGGAGTATGATATGAGACGCGTACACGGACTCCGTGTCACGAAGTAAAACACTTGCTATCGATAACAAATTTAGTAGAAAATAACATCGGTTTCAAACAAAGGAGTTCAGTACCAGATTTAAAAGGGAAATAGACACTGATTGAATTTTATACGATTTAGAAATACACAAATAGCTATACCTTAGAAATTTACATTTTTCTTTTAAATGGCTGAACGCAGCCATTCAGTCGTCAAGGACAATATATAATTAATTCAGCTTGAAACGAAATAAATTTAAAAAAAGATGCGCGCTCAAAAAATAGAATGGAAGTAAGATTGATAGATCTATTTTTTTTTTTTAAGTTGTTACTATTGTACCAATACTTGATACTAAAGCCTAGTACTCTGACGAGAAAATCCGCTGTCTAAATTAGACAGCGGAATCGCTGTTTATTTCGCTACCGAGCTAGTGTGACCAAAAAAAATTAAGGAAAATCCTGAAATGCCATGAAAATGTACTTTTTATGGCGTTTAAGGATTTTCTTTGGTCACACTGGACAGCTGTTTGTAAACAAATATTCAAAAAAATATTAAATATATTAATAAATATGGCATTAAAATGTCCTTTGTGGGTTAAATTCCATATTATGGGCTTCCCCTTGACAGCCCCTATCAATGCCACCTTTTTCCTTCAACTTTCCCTCCATTAGGGGTGTCTAAATAAATCAAATGAAATATTTAGACAGCGCGATATCAGCTGTTCACTATCTTGATCTGGCAGCGCCATTCAATTTTCGCAGGCTTCATTTTCGTCGTCAGAGTACCGGAAAAATCGACGTGGCTAAAAGTTCTTCTTCTTCTTTTTTCGACACCATTTTTTTTATATGGTGTTTGGCCGCTGTCTAAATTTATACAGCGGATTTTTCTCGTCAGAGTACTAGGCTTTACAATGATATTTTACTCGACTCGACTGGTCATAATGATCAAGAATATAAAAACCTTCTGCTTTCTGTTGCATACATTTTCTGTTGGCATTAAGCTGTACAAGAAAGGAAGCTAACTTTGTATACCCTTGCAGATTATAATTGGACCATTAAAAAACATTTAAAAAATTAAAAAAAAGAAAAATAAACGAATATATAAAAAAATGTGTATATTTACACATAGCATAAATAAAATGCTGAAAACACACACAAAACAGAGTTTCATAATATTTTACTTATACTTATTATGTTTACAGGTTGACAGTTACAGTTTTATATTCCTAGATTTAAATTTTCTCTACATTTACCGATCGCTTCTATGGCAGCTATAAGATATAGTTGTCCGATTTTCAAAAAAATGTATATCAAAACTCTACAATAATAACAAAAGCTCATATCTTAAAGTAGATTAAAATACGTTGAAAGATAACGAAGTTATAATTTTTTCTATTACTTTCCCGTTGGTTCCTACGGCAGCTATAAGATATAGTCGTCCGATTTTCACAAAATTAAACCAAAAATCTGAAATAATATATTTTGACCATATCTCAAAAATAATACAAAAATTTTGAAAAACAGCCAAGTGAGAGTATATAGAAGACTATATGCAAAGATTTATTCAGATAGCTTTTAAACTGAGGGACTAGTTTGCGTAGAAACAGACAGACGGACGGACGGACATGGCTAGATCGACTCGGCTGTTGATGCTGATCAAGAATATATATACAGTAGAGTCCGGTTATAGCGACTTTCAAGGGACCGACGATTTTACGTCGTTATACCCGGAAGACGCACTAACCGAAAGGAGCAAAAACATTTTTTTTTTTTTTTGTTTATTTTTGGTTGATGTGATTGTAATAGGTTTTTAAAATAAAACAAATTAATTTTTTAAATCAAAACAAAAAACAAATTTAATTCAATAACATAAACTTCATAATAAGTCGTATACAAACATTTTCATAGGCATAATAAAGTATTAATCTTATTTCTATATTATTATCTATTTCTTTTTATACTTAATTTAAATAATCTGTGATTTTTGATTGTGTTGTTTTTGACTTATAAAAACAGTCGCGCACAGATTTATTTAGACGAAAAATGCTGTGAGTTAATGTCTTGTCATTAAAATTGGAACTGAAAAATTTATTCAACATTTCAGCAGCCTTGAGTGCCTCCAAAACGCTGGGCGCTGACACATCTTCATTTTGGTCTTCCACGTTGTCTTCGCTGTCCTGTTCGTCATCTAATATGTTCTTAACAATACTCTCTTCAGATGGTTCCTCGCAAATCACCACACCATTGTCTATAAGAACAAATTCATCGAGTTCTTCCTTCGAAATCGGTAGCTGATTTTTTAGAGCTCTTGCCCAAACCGATAGAGGAATGTCGTCCTCGATGTCAATATCGTTTGAGAATGAGATGCTGGGACCATCTAAATTTTCTCCGGTAAAGCCTAGTACTCTGACGAGAAAAACCCGATGTCTAAATTAGACAGCGGAATCGCTGTTTATTTCGCTACCGAGGTAGTGTGACCAAAAAAAGTTAAGGAAAAGCCTGAAACGCCGCGAAAATGTACTTTTTATGGCGTTTAAGGATTTCCTTGGGTCACACTGGACAGCTGTTTGTAAACAAATATTCAAAAAAAATATTAAAAATATTAATAAATATGGCATTAAAATGTCCTTTGTGGGTTAAATTCCATATTATGGGCTTCCCCTTGACAGCCCCTATCAATGCTACTTTTTTCCTCCAACTTTCCCTCCATTAGGGGTGTCTAAATAAATCAAATGAATTATTTAGACAGCGCGATATCAGCTGTTTATACTGGCATGACACTGCCGCATTAATTAGAGACTTCATTAAAGATTTGACAGCGCTATAGCGTTTTACACAAGTGCGAGCAAGACGACTATATTGCGCTCTAATGCATTAGAATAATGCATTAGCTACTTCATTGACGCGATAATCGATAGATCTACATATTATATACTAGATACTCGATAACAAAATACGGGTTTAATGAAGAAAATTGTAATTGAAAAATGTATTAGCCAGCTCATTGACAGTATGGTCTCACAATGAGAATTTTATTTTTAAATCATTTCGCTGGTTTTTTGAACTGAAAAAATATTAGAAAATTAGGAAAAATAATATGTTTTGCGAGGGCAAGGTTCTTACGCTGTAAAATTAATATAAACATTTTTTTTGGTAATAATTAAAAAAAATTTAAGCATTATACGTTAAAAACATAAATTTAAAGGATTCTGCATTTATTTATGCAAGAATACTTCGACGAGGAATTCAGAAATTCATAGTAATACGCCTCGAATGGCGGCCGTTTTTTTTTGTTTACCTTTTACGGTCGGTGTGACCGTAGTCGTATTACCAAAATAATCCAAGCAAAATTCAAGCCAAATTACACAAAATTACACATATAGTGGTCTCTTTCAAGGTTCTAATGAAGTAGCTAATTAATGAAAACTGCATTAGTGTATCATATGGGCATTACTATCTTGATCTGGCAGCGCCATTCAATTTTCGCAGGGTTCATTTTCGTCGTCAGAGTACCAAAAAAAACGACGTGTCTAAAAGTTCTTCTTTTTTTTTTTTCGACACCGTTTTTTTTTATATGGAGTTTGGCCGCTGTCTAAATTTATACAGCGGTTTATTCTCGTCAGAGTACTAGGCTTAAGCCCAGAATGCTTAAAGAAATTCGCATTTGTTAATGGCGAAAGTTGTTGCCATGCATCATTTATCATTAAAATGGCATCGGTAATTTTCGGGTAATTGTCATCTTTGTTTTCATCCATATTGCTTTAAATTAAATTACATTAAATTAAATTTAAAATTAAATTATTTTGCTGTATTTTTTTTTTTCGTCGCGTCGCAATATCCGGTTGAATTGTGAAAAATTTGGTCGGTATAAGCGGCTTGTCGTTAAAAACGAAGACGTGTTAAGCGGAGGTCCTTTCATATAAGTTTGTATGGGGACCAACCAAGCCATCGAGTTTTCGTCCCAATAACCGGACGGACGCTATAAGCGAAGTCGTTATAGCCGGATTCTACTGTACTTTATAGGGTCGGAAAGGTCTCCTTCACTGCGTTGCAAACTTCTGACTGAAATTATAATTCTCTGCAAGGGTATAAGTATCCCTGTACCATATAATTAGAAAAGCTATGGCTGGAGCTCAAACTTACCGTAGAAACCGCAATGTTAAAGATTTTTAACGTATCTTTAACTATAATATCTTCCCATTCAGCGGATTTGTGAGGAACGGTTGGCATTTTTTGCAGGTGCGAAACTCGTGTTCCCACAGAGCTGCGTCAAAGTGCATCTGCATCCGATTTCAGCTGATCGATCTGCTGTGGCTCATAAAAACGTAAACGTAAACAAAGATGGGTGAAGCTGCCAATGTGGGAGTAAAATGAATAGTTTTTCAGCTATTTAGGCTGTTTAACAACAGCAAAAGCAAAGATTGCGTCAGATCTTATCCGCACTAAATTAAAATGAGTTAGGGGACGAGGAATTTGAGTTTCTTTAATGATTTTTCTCTAACAAAGAACAAATGCCCCGAAGAATGTGTATAGGTGGTATAGGTTTACAAAATCTATAAAACAAAGTGGAGGTATGCCGTTTATATTAAATAGTAGCAATCAGAGTTCAAGTCATTCCGCCATCGTATAAATAATCGGCTGGGAACCTATTGTTATATTCGAGCTTCCCGCCAATTAACTGAATTTTTGTAAAAACGAAACGACAATAGGTTTTCATAAAAATTTGTTTATATAATGTGACGCCTTCTTTTCTTGAAGGGGCTGGTTACATTCGTAACTATATAAAAATAAAAATTTTTAAATAGAATTAAACAATTAAAAATAAGTGTTTATTGAATTATATCTAAGGATTCCATTGAATTCATGACTTATAATTTATATTTCCAAGCACATTACGATTTTCTTTTGATTATTCTAATCGAGATATTTATTAGTATTCCGAAAAGGCAGCGTTCTATTTTTACGCATCTATTTTGCTAATCTTGATGGATATAATCTTGCATAATGATCAGTGATCATACGCGTTTGGCAAAACTATCGATATAAATTCATCAGTGATCATGTTTTTATGCCAAACGCAACCAGCCAGTCGTCAAGGGAATACCCCTTACACTCTACATAAAAATTGTTAAATTAAAATAATTGTTAAAGATATTTTTTAATAAAGGTTGTTTATAAAAAAAAAAAAACATACAAAATTGAATACCCTGAATGTAAACAAAACATTTACTTTATCCAAAAGTTTTGTTTATGAAAATAAAAGAAAAAGGTTTGCCTGTCAGAACCCATTAGGCCCACCTTGCTGAAAAAACGATTGCTGCTTGAAATACAGGTGAGACTCTATCGATCGATGGTACCATCGATCACTATCAAAGGTTTTGCTTGCTATCGATTCAGTCTCGATAGTGCTATAGATTGTTCTCCACCTCTAATTGTGCCTCTATAAGTTTCGCATGCGCCTGAATGTAAATCAATAAATCAATATTACACGAAAATATTTAATTGTTATTTTCAGTATAGCGTGCTTTTTCTTTTCAAATAAATAAAATAGAAAGCTTTAAAGTGCAGAAATGTTAAAAGCGTAACCAGAGCAGAGCCTTTTTAAATATTATTATTATATTTTTTAATTACGAATCCCATAGAAGTTTGCAGATAAAGTCATATTTTCAATAATATATTTCTTTATAAAATAGTACATACTAGAAATCTGAAAATTAAACAAAAAATTTGTTTGTACAACAAGCTACGAGCTACTTTCGTACAAAAGTTTGTGTGAAGTTTCCGTGTAACGTTCTTAAATAAATCGCCAAATTCCGATTATTATTATTTTTTTTTTCAGTTTTACTTAAGAAGTTTTGAAGTTTTAATATCTAAACAATTTTTGAACCACTCAAAATATGTAAAAATATATATATATATATATATATATATATATATATATATATATATATATATAAGTATCTATACTACGTATACATATTGCTGTGTACAAATAAGTTCATATGGGTGCTCTTCTCGAGAGAATGTACGCGTTTCTAAATAATAATCAGCTCACATCTAACCTTTAACCGTAAACTCTGAGCCGGGGCATACTTAATTATAAGCTTAAATCAAAAACAAGTGAATTTTACTGATACTGATTATAATATATTTTTCATTTTTTTAGACAATTTTGTTCAAAGTCTGAAGTCATACCATGCGCCATACCTGCGCAGTTACCTTCTGAAAGCCTAAATCCAAAACAATTGTAAATTGTACGAAAATCATGCCCCTCTTCGGCAAAAAAGATTCGGGAAAGAAGACGAAGGCGAGGGATATCAAGGAGTTGAACAAGCAAGTGTCAATTGAAGAAAAATATAATCTCCATGGACTGTTGGGGACGTGAGTAGCAGAAAGTTAATCTTATTCATAGAGTAATCTGTTAAATTTTCTTTCCACGGTAGTGGTGCCTTTTCAGAAGTACGTTTAGCCGAAAGTAAGGAAACGCCAGGCGATCATTTTGCTGTTAAAATAATCGATAAGAAAGCGTTAAAGGGCAAGGAGGAATCCCTGGAGAATGAAATACGTGTGCTGAGGAGGTGAGAAATATACCTACAAAAAATGGTAGTACCATCTAAAGTGTGCGTGTTAAAATACTCTGGTTAACAGGGTAACAGTCAGATTCAGGATTCCAAGATTAGGATACGACATTTTTAATGCATTTATATATATTTTTTTAAATTTTCATGAAATAATGCGTTTTTGACTATACTGATTATGTTTTTCTTCTATTAAAGTTTTTTATGTTGAATATTTGCCTTCTACTGCAATATGTATTTATTGAATTAAATCTATCTATAATATTTAAATATATTTATTTTCAAAGCTTATTAATAAATACATATATTGTTTTTATACTTTTTTTTGTCAAAACTTTTTCCTGTTTGCTTTAATTTGCTTTCTTTTCGTGTGTTTAGGTTCAGTGCAAATCATTTCGATGGCAAATGTCCAGATGAAAGGCGGTGAGTTGTATATCCCCGAGATCCTATATTTTGAGCGCAGAGTTTGAGTTTGACGTACATGCATGTTTGAGGGTGCAATAACTTCGTTCAAACAAACTTTTGAGGACATTTGAAGATAATATTAACAATTACTTCCAATAATACTTTTTGATTATTTAATATATTCAAGAAAAAATACATATAATTAAAAATTACCTACGAAATTGTACCTTTTCAGATTAACTCATCCAAATATTGTACAACTGTTGGAAACGTATGAGGACAAATCCAAGGTGTACCTCGTCATGGAGTTGTATGTGAATTATATTTCCCATCCTACTCTTTTATCTAATTACATTTATATTTACTTTAATTTTACAGGGTTACTGGTGGTGAACTTTTCGACCGGATTGTAGAAAAGGGGTCATACACAGAAAAGGACGCCTCTCATTTGATCAGACAAATTTTAGAGGCTGTCGATTATATGCATGAACAGGGTGTTGTGCATCGTGATCTTAAAGTAAGCATCGCTAATCTTTTATTCGCCCTTTATTTGTTTGTGGTATAGAGTGACCAGGTCTTAGGCTTCCGAGATAAATTATGTATTACCCCACAATGGAGTTTAAGGGGGGACTTTATTTAAAAATCGAAACATTTTTTTTTTGCTTAAAAAACTCTTTAGGGTTTTAAAAATAACATGCCTCTCATGTAAATATATATACGATTTTAAAACTTTAAACGCGTTTTTCTCAAAACTACTTTTTTTGAGTTGGCCGGAAACCTAACTCGAACAAATCTTAACCGATCGATCTGAAATTTTGACAGTATATCCAAAATACCTTTGTCTATCGACACACGTAGGATTCTTTTTTTATTTTTGCTTACTTTTTTTTATCAACAATTTTGTGACGTTTTTTTCTCATGAAAATTGAACATTTTTTTTAATCACTCACCATTTTGCAAAAAATCAAAATATCGAAAAAATCCTACGTGTGTCGATAGCGGTTGATATAGAATCTAACAAAATTTGATTTTTTTGTTCTAGATCAAAAATTAAGGACGTTAGGTTTCCGGCCATGGCCCTTTCAAAAAATTAGGGCCGACGAAGACATGCTGCACAGCCGCCGTTTTGTTTTCGATTTATTAAAAAAAAATTTATTTTGTAGTTCACATCTAACATTATAAAACCTACCTTAAAAATTTTCGATTGGCTTTTTCATTTAGCCAAAAAAAAATCTTGAAAATCGGCTATTTTTTGCCAGTTACTCAGATGTCCCCCCTTAAGGAAAAGAAATTAGCATTAAATTTATATGCGTCTTATGAGTTCAATACTTTGGATATCCAGCTTTGTTTAAAGCACAGTGCTAAAAAAAACAGCGAACGAGAAAAAGCTTTCTGATTTTTCGTTTGCTCGGGTACTAAGAAGCGAATTTTTAAGCTGATCTCAGTTCACTAATTTGCTCTAAAATTATTAGCTCACTTCTAAGATCAGCAGTAACCCTATTGAAAATAAGTAACTGAATAATTATAATTTATTAGCCAGAAAACTTGCTATACTACAGCGCTGAAGATGATAGCAAAATAATGATTAGCGATTTCGGATTATCCAAAATGGAAGACTCGGGCATTATGGCAACTGCATGTGGAACGCCAGGTTATGTTGCACCCGAGGTGCTAGCACAAAAGCCATATGGCAAAGCCGTTGATGTGTGGAGTATTGGGGTAATATCATACATTCTGTTATGCGGCTATCCCCCGTTTTATGATGAAAACGATGCCAATTTATTCGCACAGATTTTAAAAGGTATTGGTATTGAAATATGAACGCAATATGAATAATTAATCATGACTAAATACCTATTTTAGGGGAATTTGAATTTGATTCGCCGTATTGGGATGAAATCAGCGAATCGGCCAAACATTTCATACGAAACCTAATGTGTGTAACCGTAGAAAAGCGATATACATGTAAGCAAGCGTTGGCTCATGCCTGGTAAGTATTAATGCATATTAATTAATGCGGGGATCTATTTTTGCCCAATCGGCACTATACTTGTACTGAGACTGAATAATCTTTCTATAATTTGTATTATAAAAAGAAGTTATAACAAAACCAGTTATACTTTTTTTATTTATTGGTCCAAACCTAAGATTTCTAAATTTTTTAAGAATCTTTGATTAGAAAACTTAAAATTATAAATTAATTATTATGAAAACCTAGTGATATACTCCACGTACCATTGCAGATATAACAGATATTTTTATTGTATAGATTTTGTTTTGATCTATTTAAATCTCCCCGTATTTATTGCAGGATTTCTGGCAATGAAGCGAGTAGCAAAAATATTCATGGAACCGTCTCAGAGCAGTTGAAGAAGAACTTTGCAAAATCACGCTGGAAGGTGCGTTTTAAATATAATATATTGAAGATATACACACAAATATATGTATATTATATTAAACTAATTTAAATTTTACTTATTTTTAGCAAGCTTATTATGCGGCCACAGTCATACGGCAAATGCAAAGGATGGCTCTTAGCAGCAATAATAGTAGTAGTGCAAATAGTGATTCCACTGGGAATAGCAGTACCCACAAGAAACACTCTACGAATGCAACAGCAGTAGGAGCAGAAACAGCATCTGGAGAAGGAACTGAAACAAGCCCCGCTGCCACAGCACACATTCTTCGTTTGCCTCAGGATCAGAGCAGTGATCTGGAAACTAGCAATACCAATGGAGCTTCAGTTTGAATATGAAAATAATATGTTACATTTGTCGTTTTTCCAATTACAATTTCTTGAATTTTAAATTTTTTCTAGTCTATAGTAAATATTCTCACTGATGTTTACTAATCAAAGCCAATTCTTTGAAATTTGCTAACAAAAATGTACTCTTCTTAATAGAAGTCAAAGTAAAAACGTTGACAAAAAATATACCATATAAATAATACGAATTACCAACCATATACTTAAGAACTCGTAACATCATCGGCTTGATCGTAAAGATCACAGCTGAATTTTCGTATGCCTGGCTTCAGTTGAGTACTCCTTTCCGAGCCACTCATTACCACGATATTTAAGTTCTCAGAGTTATTTACAATTTTTAATCTACCAATACAAACTTGTATAGATGGCTCCACACAGCAATTGCCTACTATATTTTTGGTTATGAATGTCTTCTAAGGTGATGGTGTTTCGATAATGATAGATTCTATATGCAATAACTTTAATATTGGACACACTCATCTAAGTATATTAAAAAAAAAAATTCAACAAAAACCCTATTAAATGTTTCTCAAAAATGATGAGCACTTATTAATTGTTAAATAATAACGATGGGGCGTCAAGACATCGGATGTCGGATGTCGCTCAATCTATCTCATATTGACAATTAAATAAATATTCAAACGAGAGTAGCGTAGCTTTTCAAACGCTGCACGTAGTAGACGCGGTTCTTAAAATTTATTGCCCATTGAAACTAATGTAAGTTATCTATCTGAGATCAGCCCCGGTGCCTGACTTAGGCACAAGTATACGCGCTTATCTGTTATGTATCAATCGATATGAAAGGAAACGAAGAATGTTCGTTCCATTTGCACTAACTCGAGTTATCGCGTTTGACAGCAAGCAGCAGTTTTGAAGTTAGCCAGTTTTAGTTAGCTATACACTGTATTTATTTAACATTTTTTTCTTGTTTTCTACAAAAAAATTTAGTTGTCTTCCTTTAAGATTATTTTTTTTATTTCGTTTTTTTGATTTTTTATCCGAACTTCCAACTTTCTTTTTCGTAATGCAAACGCGACAGAACCAATCATCGTTGTCCTTGGGAGCAATGGTTATGCCCACACAGATCCTAAAAAATATATTTAATAATAAAAGTAGATATTTTTGAATAGTTCAATAAATACCAATGATACCAAGCATCGCAGCCATCGCAGCCAATCATGGCAGAACCGTCATCCACTTTGCCGCACGCGGGACAAATCCAAATTCGATTGCCTTCGGCATCCACATAGGACGAAGGTCGGTTATGATTTTTGGTTTCCACAATTTGTAAGGAGTTTTCAGCTGAACTATTGGAGGTAGGCGTTCTTCCAGTTGTTCCTGTTGCGACGTTTGTTGATGGAAAATTATTTATATTTGGTTTTGGATTCGTCGTTGTCATCAGCATTAATTGTTGTGGCAATAAAACTGAGCTGGCAGAGAGCGTTGACGTGGCTGAGGTATGCGTATGAGTGCTATTATTTGAGGTTGACATCCAACCGGATGAAGATGCTGCCATTGGTGGATGTAGATTTCTTGCATTCGTTGGACCAGGCACTAACGAAGGAATCTGTACAACTGTAGGATTTACAGGTGAATTGCCTGCAATATTTGTTAAGAGAGGTGGGTTTGCCGTTACTGTGATTGGGTCAGCTGCAAATTAAGAGGAAAATTTAGGTATATTATTATTTAATTAGTTATTGTTGAAAATAATACATTGTTTCGTTTTCGGTGGACCAGTGACCAATGGAGAGAAGCGTGCTAGTTCCGGCGAATGATCTCTTTCCCGTTGGATAGTCGGAGGTGTTTCGTTGTCCATCGTTTCACCAGTAAGTGGCAAAGGTGTGGATTTCCCACTTAGTTTCAGTGTTAATTTTGGTATCTGTGTTGGAGAAGGACTCGGAGTTGGAGGTGACTTTGGGGAAATTGCAGTTGTAGGAGTTGCGCCCACAAATAAGTTTGGAGCGGGGCCACGTTCGACGATGTTGTTGGTTAAAGGCAACACCCCGTCCCCGTCATCATCGGGTATTTGGATTATGGATGTGGTCTATAATATATATTGTAATACAATAAGCATGGCGACTTTGAAAACTAACACATTTGAAGTTTCAAACAAAATAAAAACTAGCTTAAACATAAAAATAAAAAATTAAAAAAAAAAAAAAAAAAACAAACCTGTTGCTTATCTTTCTTTTTCTTCAGCTTTTTCTTGTCACTTTTATCGGATGTGGTCGACATGCTCCCGTTAAAAAAAAGATCCTTTTCCTTTGATTTTTCTTTCTTGTCCTTTTTTTTCTTGACTTTTCCCTCTTTTATTTTCTTCAGCTTTTTGTGATGCTTCCGCAGCTTGAGATCTGTCGAAGATGCTACTCCTGTTGGTGTTATGGTAATGTCTTCGTAAGTCGGAAATTTGGGCAAAAACGATTGATGATCATCGTTTGTGTAATGCTGAGCTGTCAAGCTATTGGAGGGCACCTTTTGTGAGGAATATGCAGAGCCGCAATCTACGCGTGATAATGGTATAAGATCTGCTCCACCCGCCAAACTGAATTTGTCGCCCCCGCCCATAAAAGTGGGCAATTGGAATCGCGGCGAAAATTGTGATTTGGCTGAAATGGAGGTTGCTGATGTGGAACTGGCGGAAGTTATCAAGCTTAATTTCACAGGGCCCTTAATTTTTTTATCAGGTATGGCCAGTATATTACTTAAGTCCAGCTGGGACTTATCTTGAAATGATTGCGGTGTCTCTGGCATTCTTCCTTTTTCTATAGCTTCATCGGAGTCTTCGTCTGAGACTTCAATGGGGTCGCCCAGATTGCCAGTAGCTTTACCTTTTTGCATAGTCAGTGCATATGAACTGTCCACATTTGTAGACACACAAGCTACTTCTCCACCTTTTATGTTAAAAAAAAAACAAAAAGATTTATTAATGTGGCTGTAAATACAGTTGATCTGAGTCGGTTTCTGTGAAACAAATCATTTTAATTTTGTTTTTACTCTGCAATTACGAATGCCAAATCATTTTAAACCAAAAAAATTTAAATAAAGAGTGTGATGAGCAAGATGACTATTTTTTAAAATGTAGAGTAGAAAAATTTAATTAATATTGATTGAAAATTATTATTATTTTACATATAAAAAGTCGAGGAACGGATTAAAGCTATCGATAATAAAGTATATTTGAATTAACATTCTCCTATACTTATTATATTTACTGTTTTTGAGCTACCGTTTTTGTGTCTTTCTGTACTTTAAAAGATCATTTCCATAGAAGCTATGTATATGATATATTCATACGATTTGGATTAATTTAAATCCGGAATTCGAAATAAAAAGAAATGATCATGATGATACTTATTCAACAAAAAAAAGACATACTTTTTTCTCTTTGTTTTCCAATCATTTCAATGCAGATATGTGATTGTAGGTGTAGTAGTTGTACCAAAGACAATAGAGTCTATAAGATAAGTAACGCCATACGGTTTTTTTGCACACGATTTTTTCGTGCTGGCTTTTGAGTTGGCTCCAGGCTCTCTTAAATTTTGTTCAAAAGCAAGCGAAGAGAGCGCTCTAGAGCCAGCCGTTCTCTTGTACGCATTCAGCGACGCCGAATGTTTGTGTGCAAACGGGCCCCAAGAAGGCCAATTTCGCTATTAAATTTATTTTTTATTTTAACATCTCTTTAATTTTATATACTTATTGATTTATAAATGAATTTTATTATAATATATGAATCATAATAATATATTATTAATTTATTAGTAAATTTAATTAGATAATTGTAAATACATATGTAATTATGTATGTATTTAAATCAATTATTTATATTATTTTGCATATTTGTTTAATAATAAAATTATATAATATACATACATACAGATGAACATAAAATTTAGTTAACTAATTTTCTGAATTGAACTTGTATACAAATACAATCCATATTCGAGATCAGCTGTTTTTGCTGCCGCTACTATCGCTCAGTAGCGCCGTTTCTCATTTAGCGTTGCAAAAATCATATATTTTGAACCAAATAATATAACCTAATAATTTACGGACAGATAATTGTTGTAAAATATGTATATGTACTGTGCCACGCACACAAAATCGACTTTTTACGGGGTATCAAAGTAAAAAAATAATTTTTTTTATGAAAACAATTTTTTTTAATATATTGAGCAAATACAAAATATCAACACAATTTCATACATTCCAAAAAATATATACTAACTGTAGCGCTCACGGTTTTGTGACAGTTACACTTAGGAAAAAAAAAAAATATTTTTTGATTTTATTACAGGTTCTGAATCCTTGAGAAATGTTCTGTCGATTTTTTTGCGAATTTTCAATTTTTGCAACGCTAATTGTTCGAGAGGCGCTACTGTGCATCGCCTGCTAACAAGCGGTCACCAGCACAAAATATGAAAATTCAATTTTTTGGTGCTTGCGCTTGCGCACACGTATTATCGCATACATACGCGCTTTCGTGTTCTTGTGTTTACTCATACAAGCAAGCGCATTCTATTTTTAGATTTTTACGCTCTCAACTTTGTGAGAGCAAGAGAACGCGATTGTCGTTGCCATCAAAAATGAAGCCTCATATTGCAAAACGAATGTATGGTCGTGGGGCATCTTGTTAAATCTATTGTCTTTGGTAGTACAGTGTCCGATTTTTTCATAAAATTGAAATCGAAATTCTAAAATACAAAACAACAGCAAACGTCTGCAGAATTGATTAAATATGTTAAAAACCGGTTTTTTGTTTTTAAGATTTAGTCGTTCGACCAACCCTTTCCGACTTATATGAGTGAGAATAGTCAGAAGACTATCTCCAAAGTTACTTTCAGATAGCTTCAGAACTGAGGGACTTGCCTGCATAGAAACGGACAGACGGACGGACGGACATGGCCAGATCGAATCGCCTTTTGATGATTATAAGGAATATATAAATTCCGATTAAAACTATAATACTCTGCAATGCGGAAAAGTAGAGCTTTTGGGGGGTTGAGAAGATTTTTACGGCAATTTTCAAACTAATACGTTTATCATTTGATTACCGTTATGAATGATTTCTTTGTTAAACTACAAAAACTTTATTACACTTTTTTAAACTCTGTGGAGCGATGTTAGACTACCTAACTTTCTTATGGACTGATAAAAATCTTTGTAAGCCCGTACATTTTCTTTCTTGTGTTGCAATAACTTACATTCGGTTAGTTTAATAGAGTCGGGTGGGATTAAAGGTGCAACATTGCAGTAGTTCCTATTTTCGGAAGACGTCTGACGAAATAATTTTAGTTGGTCTGAGTTTGAAGCTATGGATAGATTTGTGTTTTTTATATAAGATTACTTTATTCGAATACTACATACCATCGTCATCTTTGACAGCAACAGAAGAAGTATTAGGTGGACCGGAGAAGGCAAAAAATGGAGGAATTCCCACCTTGTTTGGATTGCTACCCCCACCAAATCCCACCAGACCAGATACTACTCCAGGGAAAAGACCAGGTGGTGGCCCCGAGGGTATCAAACCAGGTTGCGGTGGAAAATGTAGAAGAGGCAGCAAAGGCATTGCCACCATACCTGCTCCTGCTCCTCCTTGATTGGCGGAGTATATGGGTGTAACTGTTGGATTTGGCGGTGTGACAAACTGGTCATGAACGACATTTATTTTGGTTAAAGAGATTTTTTCTGGAGAAGTGAACATAATATTCTTATTGATTTCATTGGAATTTTTATCTCCGGTTAAGCTTGGGGTTTCATATTTTAATTTGCCCTTTTTCTTCTCCTTCTTTTCTTTTAAAATCAAATTTTTTGAAATTAAATTCACTTTTTGATCTGTGAAATTGCTTAGGTTAAGAGGCTGCTCAGTGGATAAGTTTGCGGAATTAATTGAATTGGGAAATGTAATTAAAGATTGAGATGTTGAGAGATTTGTTGGTTTTATTTGATTTTTTCCACCCGGTTTGCGGCCCCTTTTTTTGGACTTAACTAACATGTTAATGGGATTAACTTCAGACGAAGGTCTTGACTCCGTTATATTACAATTTCTTATTGTTGTCTCTGGATTTAAAGAAATTAAAGGTGAAGGCAATGGAGTTTGTGCATTTGCAGGAGTTATGGTTGTCCCCGAAGGTAAGCTTATTATAGGTGTGCTTCCTGTTATAATGGGTTTACCAATTGTATTACTAAGTGGTAAACCCGTTTTCTGCTTTGTTATTTTCTTAAATATATCCAATTTATTTCGTTCTGGCTCGCAAGTCTTTTTTGCTTCTGACAAAATAGGCCCCAAAGTCTGTTCAATTTCATATTGGCTTGCAGGCACAGCAGATATCAGCTCAGTAGAACTTTCAACAAATACTGGATTTTCTGTAACCAAACTCTCAGGTGCAAATATTTTTTCGTGGTTTTCCATACAATTCAAACTTTTATCATCAATTGTTAAACCTTTTAATTGCTTTTGCCTTTGTTTAGCCTGTTTTCTAATTAGCTTTTCGAGTTGTTGTGCCTTATTTCCATCAGCTGACTTTTTCGACTTTTTAAAATTTAACATTTGACTTTCATTGCTTTGATTCTTTGCTAATTTTTGATATAACTTCATGGCTCTTCGTTGGGCTTTTTCCTTTTGTTTTGAATCGTTTTCATCGCGACTTGAGTCATCTTTCTGCTTTTTGTTTTTCTTAGATGATGCTTTGGGCGTCGGTATATTATTATTATTAAATAATGATGAATCCGAACTCTCCTTTGTTGTAGTTATTGATTCAGATATTTGTTTGCCATTATCTATTTCTAGCTCTGGCAATGGTGTCTTTATCTTTTTCGACAATGTTTCCAATTTGGCGGAGCCGGCCAAGGATTGGGGAATTAACGATTCTATGGGCGGTGCATCCAGACCTTTGTATTCCTCTACAGAAAATAAAAGACAACAAAAACAAAATGGAATTAATATTTTCTACAATATTTTCTATATGAAAGAAACCAGCCTTAATAATCTAATTTAAAGAGTGGTTAATTAAGAGCACTGTATCTATAAGTAAATACATACTTAGATGCAGCATCGTAAAAATTTATGCAGACCTGCTGTTTACAATAACTGCTCGTTTATATACATGTGTTCAAGGGAAAATCACTTACCAATTATATCTGGTACAACGGCTTCTGGTAGTTTGCCTTCAATAGCTGGACTGATAAATCCGCCTGTAGTCATCACCACACTGTTCAGTTCCCACATGGAAGATCGGTTCTGATCCGAGTCAACGTTGCTATTATTGTTTGATGAAGGGAAATACAATCTGGCTGGGTTCGGAGACTGGGATTCTATATTTTGATGATTAAAACAACCAAGTTTATCGGAGATTTCCGAATTAACACCGAGATCATCCAGTTTTTGTGTGGATTCTGCCTTTTCAGTCTCCCTGCACTCAGATTTCTTCATTGGGGGCAAATATTCGAAGATGTGTATAGGTCGCGTCAGGGTTTCGGCACTGCCCGGCTTCAAAAAGTTCATATTCGATGCCCTTTTTATAGGAAACTGTGGTACATCGCGCGTAAATCCCACTGGCTCTACATTACCAATATAATCCAATAGCTCTTGTATGTTAATATTAAGACTTTTTAAACTGTGCCGAGCATCCTTAACACTTGGTTCGAGACGATTAGCTAATGTAAAAAGTTTAAATGTAAGTAGTAAAATTAATATTTTTGAAAAATCTGTTCAAACCCACCATGTTCCATGTGTCCATGGAGGTCACGGGCAAACTCAAGCATAAACTTTAGCATAACATCTTGTAGTAGTTCCAAAGGAGCACTTAAAGTACAATTATAACCTATGGTTTGCGAAATCTGAGCAATCACAATTCGACAAAGATCTGATGAATATTTATCTGTCATTTTTAATTATTTTAGCAAACAGAGCTCCTTTCTTTATTTTTTACAAACTACAAACTAAAGATGCAAGTATTACGATATATATTTATTTATCGATATTTTTATTAGTAATGTGACATTGCTAATGTCCTATTTACATTCGGCCTCGCTACAATGAACACTGCATTTTAATAATCGGCGACCATTATAATATCATGTAATAAAAAGCACATAACCTGTCCTGCTCTGGTAATCGTATTTTTTTTTATCTACTTCGATATTGGCGAAATCATACGATTTCGTTTTTTGCTGCTCCGGTTTTCGCCAAATCTAGCTATCGGAATGTTACATTTCTCATCGTTTCTTACTGCTGAAACAGCTGTTTTTTTTTATTTTTTTGTACACAACAAACAACGCTAAGAACTGCTAGATGTGGGAGTAACTAGAATGTGTTCAGCTGATCGATCAGCTGTAAGTCGATGGGGATGCAGATGCAAGCTCTGTGCGAACACGTGTTTCACATTTGTGAAAAATCCCAACTGTTCCACACAAATGCACTGAGTGGAAAGACAGTGTATTCTCAATGATTGTACAACATGGGTGCACACATAAATACTAGTTTATATATGTGTATATCATTATCTATTAATATTTAATAAATAATTAGCTTCAAATTTATATTATACATATCGTTTGTTAGTAAAGTGTTGACCAGCATTTCATTTCGTTGTAAACGATAACAGAATACTTGAAGTAGGATACTCCATTAAATTTGAATATTCTAACAGGGAATTATAAATTTATTAAAAAGTTTGTAACGCAGTGATTTCCCTAGAGACTATTTATATTCTTGATCGGTATCAACAACGGAGTCAATCTAGCCATGTCCGCCTGTCTGTACTAAAGATATGTAAATGAAACTTTGCAGATAGTTTTTTGATTACTCTCGTATCAAAACTCAAAATAAATAAAAATAAATTGTTAATTAATACACATTTTTTTTATTGTGTATTAATTCCGTTTTTTTTTCATTTGACCAAAATCAATTGATTCTTAGTGAACAATTACTAACTGCAAGGGTATAGAAGTTAAGCCGAAGTTAATTTATTTCCTTATCTTGTTTGTTATTCAATTGATTTAATAGAAATAATACATTTTACGTAATTGATATAGGGGTAAATTTTAATTTACTAACAAGAAATAAATTTTTTAAAAGTACAAACTATGGAAAAAAAGTAAAAAATGCATCGGCCTAATATGGTGGTCCACATAAAAATGAATGATTTTTTTGTGTTTCATTGCATCTTTTAAAAAACGCATTACATACAAGTATCAGATTTATTTTTTGTTGTTAATTGAGCAAATACACATACATTAATAAAAGACTTTCTAGCTTTTTTTAACAGGTTAGAATTGGTTCCTATATAATGTATTATTGGAGTAATAAAGCAGCGCAGAGCCAACAAATGCAGTTACAAAAGATCCTGCCACTGACTCAACTATTCGATATTGAAAATTTAAAAAGCACAAAACATTTCAATGCTGAACTTAGTAATAATAATAATCAAAAATACTTAGAGGATGAAACTAGCATTGATAAAGCAAAGCTGTATTTCGTTCAAAGTGGAATATTGGGACCAAATACTTTTAAAGAGTCAAGTGACTTGATAAGAAAAACATCAACTATTCATGCTGATACGTGCCTTAGAAACCAGGTGAGCTTAATTAATTAAATTATTTTAAACATGTAAATATATAAATTCAATATGTTAGATCCGGAGGACGTCATTGTGTCTACGTTCGAGAGTAGCTAGCGAAAGAATGAAGAGTTATGATGATACCCTTATTGTTCTTAAAGCCGAAATAAACTTAATGAGAAGGACCTTAGACCAAGGAGAGATTAAAATTATTACCCTACGTACTGAAATTGGAAAGCTAAAGGTAAGAACTAGTAATATAATAATTACGGCATTCCCTTGACGATTTAATTACTGAAAATATCGACGTTTTATTTTATTATTTTTTGTTTTTCGCGCGGGGTCATGCTTTTACCTTCTGCCCAACCGACCGAGGGGCGCAGCCGTGTGACGTACGGCCGGCAGGTTAGGCCACGGAGGGCGAAAAGTTAAAAGTTCTTTATTACAGATTCAATGGGGTTAATATGGACTCCAAATTGAGGACTCCAGACGTAAGAACCAATATAGGGCAGACCTAGGAGCATGCCTCTGGCTTTATTAACCATGCAAGAAATATGTTAAGAAGACAAAAGTTTAGGATCTAGGAGCACCCAAATTGTCAAGAAGAGTTATTCTTTCCAGATATCAGTCATTAAGTGTATAAGTGACAAACTGGAAAGTGACACAAAAATATGTCATCAATTTCCTTTTGGAGGTTTGGAGATGTAATAAGTCAAGCACGACACCATGCTTGAAAGTTATTAAGATCCGATTGTAGGTTTGACTGGCATGAGCTGCCTTTATATTGCAGCCATAGTCTAACGTCATCAGCGTACAAAAGTACTTTAAGTTCGTAAGAACCAGAGGGAGGTCATTGATAAACAATGTAAATAGCAGTGGGCCGAGGTGGCTACCTTGTGGGACGCCAGATGTAACACCGACAAATTTGGGTAGAGTATTTTTAAACAAAGCCTTTTAAGTCCTGTCACTCAAGCAACTCTTAATCCATTGAAAAAGATCGAAAGGAAACCCAATTAAGTCAATCTCCCTTACTAGAAGAGAATGATTAACCGAGTAAAAGCCGACGAGAAAACCAGGTGGGCTTATGAGAAACATCTGGTGAGGGAAATGAAGGGACATATATATGAGTACTGAGTACATTATGTTCTCATGCTCATGTTCGGGACACAATGGTAATGGGGTCAAAGCTTAAGAACTATCTCCAGAGTGGGCGAAAGAGGGTCAATTCTAGTGACGTAGCCATTGGCCAACTCAGAGATAAAGATGAGGTCTAAAACATTTTTACTGCAGTTCCTAATTCAATAGTCCCAATGAGAGGTCAATGAGTCCAGCAGCCTGCAACGTGGATGACTGGTCACTTTTAGTCCTGAACTGGGGACCGTCCAGAAGCAGTAACTTCGCCAAAACCATCAGCTATGGCCACAATTTTTTCACTGATTTTCTCTCAGGGGCTGAACTGCATAAGGGAGCTCCGAGAGTTTGTAACATGTAAAAGGGTGTAAGAAGGCGTCTTCCTTTTTTCTGATTGGTGAGTCACTTATCAGTTTGAGCGATTTGAAGTGAGACTCTGCCATTTAAAAACGACTGGATAATTCCTTGAAACCGGCCGGTGTCGTAGAGCCAACAGAAAACAGTGGTCTGCAGCAATGTGATCTTCTGTCCGTTTGGACAATCGGTGGCCGATTTATTTATTATGACAATTAAAAACACGACGGCCAACGAGAAATTAAAGAAAAATATTAAATATATATTTCGCGGCAAAGAAACAAAATAAAAGGTAAAAAGCGCAAGATAAAATGGTCTCTAAGTGCCGGAAAATACTGAGTTTTTGTGATTATACAGCGTAACCAAGGCAGTTGCGCCAACAACAACACCAAGTCGAAGCAGCAATCAGAGGTAAAACAGAATGGCGAAGGGAGATAACGTTTTTTTTTTTTTTGCATAACATTAAACAAATTTTATTAACGTTGATCAACCAACTTAATGGTTATAAAACGTTGGTTAAAAATATGAGTAAAAAATAACATGGCACATGGAACAGAAATGGGAACAAATTAACAAATTTTTAATGACAAGTGGAAAATGCTAGTTACTGCTTTAAGACTCGCGAGATATGTCTTCCTCTTGTCCAGAGATCGGCGGGATGTCTACGTTTGAGCCTTCTTCTGACTGACGTGTTGGCCAATGAAGCCGCTAGGCGGTTGGTGTGAGCCGTGAGACGTTCGTTATAACGACTTGAATGCCGGTTGATCTGCTCCCTGATAGAGGGAATGTGGAGGTCACTTGCCAAGGCTTTGTTTCTAACGTACCATGGGGCATTAGCAATCAAGCGCAGCGCTCGGTTTTGGACTCTTTGCACCTTCATGACGAAGGGAGATAACGAAATATGTAGAATCACAAAATTAAAGTCACTGTTGTTAAATAATTCAGTTGTTTTGATAATCGAATTAAAAAGGTGGAGCGATAGAAAACACGTCCGACTCGAAGCTTAAAAGCGAAAGGTAAGGACTATGCTGCTTAACAACAGCAAAACCAGAGATTGCATACGAGTTTATCCGCACTAAATTAAAATGATTTAGATGGCGGGGAATTTGAGTTTCTCTAATTATTTTTCGTAGAGTGTGCACGGTGGTATAGGCTCCCAAAAGCAATAGAATAAAGTAGAAGTAGGCGTTTTATATTTAATAGGACTTGGGGACATTTTGGGGCAAGAACATATAGGAAAACACCGAGTTTTTTGAGCATGCTTGTAGCTTTGGCGCCACATTTTAAATCAGGGATTGCAAATAAGAGTTATGAGTAAAATAAAAGTTACTACCAAAAAATTGAGCTGGAAAGATAAAATATTTAGGTATACCATAATTTTTGAAGGAGTTCTCAAAAATAAAATAAACTTTTATAACCAATTGTTATTTTTTGATTGCGCTTTAACTCTTATTTTTAAATTTTAATAAAAAGTTGTAGAATAATTATTATTTTTCAATTTGTATAGAAAAGTTGAGTTATAACAATTATTTGCAATTTTTAAAATAATAATTGAAAATTAAAATTATTCTCCAATTTTTATTTTTAAAAATTGAAAATAATAGTTATACGGTCTTCCCACACAGCGCATCTGTGAGGAACGTTTGGGATTTTTCGCAGATGCGAAATTCGTGTTCCCACACAACATTAAAGAGCATTTAGCATCCGAACAGCTGATCGATCAGCTGTGGCTCATGAAAACGTAAACAAAGGCTGTCGAATTGGCAGTTGCAAATTTGAAATGGAGCATTTACCAACTATTTTGGCTGTTGTACAACAGCAAAATGCACAGATTGCGTCAGAATTTATCCGCACTAAATTTAAATGAATTAAATGACAAGGAATTTTAGTTTTTCTAATGATTTTTCTCTAACAAAGAGCAAATTCCCCGAAGTGTGTCTATAGGTGGTATAGGCATCCAAAATCTTCAAAATAAGGTAGAGGCAGGCGGTTTATATTAAATAGTAACAATTGGGGACATATTGGGGCAAGAATATACAGAAAAAACGCCAACAACTATTTTGGACATTCTTGTAGCTTTGGCGCCACATTTTAAATTCCATATCTCATTTGTTTCTCGCCAAGTGTGTATACACTTTCGTAGTGATGGTCAAATTTTCAGAGTTGCACCGAAAAACTATCGCCTAACTATCGCCAAACAAACGGTCGTTACATTTAGATGCGCTTTGATGCAGGTCCAATTGAGAAAATTCGGAATGGCAAAACCTTATGGACCGTTTGTTCAACGGATGCCAGATGCGCTTTGACGGTGTGTGGGAAGACCCTATTACGTGTCAATTTTTATTTTACAAATTGAAAATAAAAATTGAATCGCAATAACTTTTCCACGGAGCGGTATATCTTAAAGATTGACATATATAATTAATCTACGCTTCAATACCTTTCGTTTGATTGTAAAATAACTCTTATTTCATAATTTGTATTATAAATATTATAACTGTTACGATCCCTGTTTTAAATTCAACATTTTAATTGTTCCTAGCCATCTTTGTTTACATTTTCGTAGTGAATGATAAATTTTTTATTAAAGCGCATTTAGCATCCGTTGAACAAATGCTCCATAAGGTTTTGCCGTTCCGAATTTTCCCAAATGGGCCGGCGTTAGTTCAGCATTAAAATCTAACCACGGTTTGTTTGGCGATAGTTAGGCGATAGTTCTTCGGTGCAACTCTGATTCTTCTTCTTAATTTGACCAACACTACGAAAGTGTATACACACTTGGCGAGAAACAAATGAGATATGGAATTTAAAACGTGGCGCCAAAGCTACAAGCATGCCCAAAATAGATGTTGGCGTTTTTTCTGTATATTCTTGCCCCAATATGTCCCCAATTGTTACTATTTAATATAAACCGCCTACCTCTACCTTATTTTAATGATTTTGGATGCCTATACCACCTATAGACACTCTTCGGGGAATTTTGCTCTTTGTTAGAGAAAAATCATTAGAAAAACTAAAATTCCTTGTCATTTAATTCATTTAAATTTATTGCGGATAAATTCTGACGCAATCTGTGCCTTTTGCTATTGTACAACAGCCAAAATAGTTGGTAAATGCTCCATTTCAAATTTGCAACTGCCAATTCGACAGCCTTTGTTTACGTTTTCATGAGCCACAGCTGATCGATCAGCTGTTCGGATGCTAAATGCGCTTTAATGTTGTGTGGGAACACGAGTTTCACATTTGTGAAAAATCCCAAACGTTCCTCACAAATGCGCTGTGTGGGAAGACAGTAACAAAGTGAGAAATTTCGGAACGGCAAAACCATCCGTTCAACGGATGGGGGATGCAAATGTAAGTTCTGTAAGAGGATCCATTAGCCACACTAGCTTTTCAGTTATTCTGTCGATATTTTCAGCGACCTCGCATTCGCTAATACTGGCATGACACTGCCGCATTAATTAGAGACTTCATTAAAGATTTGACAGCGCTATAGCGTTTTACACAAGTGCGAGCAAGACGACTATATGGCGCTCTAATGCATTAGAATAATGCATTAGCTACTTCATTGCCGCGATAATCGATAGATCTACATATTATATACTAGACACTCGATAACAAAATACGGGTTTAATGAAGAAAATTGTAATTGAAAAATGTATTAGCCAGCTCATTGACAGTATGGTCTCACAATGAGAATTTTATTTTTATATCATTTCGCTTGTTTTTTGAACTGAAATTATATTAGAAAATTAGCAAAAATAATATGTTTTGCGGTAGCAAGGTTCTTGCGCTGTAAAATTAATTAAAATTATTTTTTTTGTAATAATTAAAAAAATTTTAAGCATTATAGGTTAAAAACATAAATTTAAAGGAGTCTGCATTTATTTATGCAATAATACTTCGACGAGGAATTCAGAAATTCATAATAATACGCCGCGAATGGCGGCTGTTTTTTTTGTTTACCTTTTACGGTCGGTGTGACCGTAGTCGTATTACCAAAATAATCCAAGCAAAATTCAAGCAAAATTACACAAAATTACACATATAGTTGACTCTTTCAAGGTTCTAATGAAGTAGCTAATTAATGAAAACTGCATTAGTGTATCATATGGGCATAATTGACTAAAAATATCTTATAAGCAGTTTGTATGAAAACAGCTGTTTTCAGTTGCCGATATTTTAAGTTATTCAGTCGTCAAGGGAATACCCTGAATAATAAGTCCAATGTCTATGGAAATGCATTAAAAAAAAATTTTTTTTTCAGCGCTTACTGCAAAAGATAATGCATGTTCAGATGGAAGACTGTCGTAATCACACAGAAGAAACTTTAATAATTCAGAGTCCAATGCCGGGTCTATGTTTATTTTGTCAACAAAAATATAGTACTTCAGTAAAATGATCAGCGTAAATAGTATTGATCATATAATAATAATAGTAAATAGTAGTAAAAGCAAGAAAGAAAGATTACAATGGATACAATAAAAAAAAATAACAAAAAACATATTTATGTATGTAAAGAAACATTCGACCTTCATCGAGTGCAGACGTGCCTACGGACGACCGCTACGCGGGGTTTATTCTAGTAGTGTTTTTTCATGGTGAAAAAGTAAATTTGGAATTAAACTACGTACTGATAGTAAGGGCAAGCCCTACAGTACGTATGACATTCGGACACTAGTGCGTGAGACGTGTTTTTGAGCTGCAAAGTTCATTTATATGGTGCCACGCGTAACAAGCTCAAAATAATGAGCGGCGATCAAAAGAATGAGCGTAGAAGCTCTGTAAACCAAAGAAACGGTTGTTTCACTTACTTCTCAACTCGCGATATCGAAGCAGAAAAAACGTCTACCAAGCCCAACCCGGCTCTACTGACCGCCGACGGCAAGAGAGCGCGCTCTTGTCCACCCGCCCTACTCACTTCAGCTCCTACATCTTGGAGCTACAAATGCCAAACCCCACCACCACCGGCTTCGATTGAAGACGCACCAACAACAAGCAGTGCTGTAATTTCTGCAAACGCAGCAAAAGCAACAACAACTAAACTAACGACCAATATTGCGAAATCGGTATGCATACGAACTGGTATGCAAAATCCACTCCCCTCTAACTCAGTAAACGCTCAGCAGGTCCCAGGGCAGCCACAAAACAACCTGGAATCCATGATGGTGGCCATGCCACAAAGTATGATGGAACTCATGTCTTTTATGAAAACGACCATGCAAACGCTTGTCCAAAATCAGAATATGGTGATACAGCTGCTTGTAGCACAACAGTCGAAATAATCAATGTCCAATCTACGTATATCCACGTGGAATGCCAACGGCGTCTCACGGCATAAACATGAACTAACACAATTTCTAAATGAAAACCACATCGACGCCATGCTACTGGCTGGTTGAAACGCACCTCACAAGCAAATACAACTTTCACATAAGAGGTTATATCTTCCACCGCACAGATCATCCAGATGGTAAAGCCCACGGCGGGACCGGCATCCTTATCAGAGAACGCATCCAACACCATTTTCACCAAAGGTTTGCAACAAATTACTTGCAAGCTACGTCCATAAAAGTGCAGTCAGGTAATGGCAACCTTTGCATTGCTGCTGTCTACTGCCCACCTCGCTTTACAATTTCTGAAGGCCAATTCATGGATTTTTTCAACTCTCTTGGAGATCGCTTAATAGCTGCAGGAGATTACAACGCCAAGCATACGCATTGAGGATCCCGCCTCGTGACCCCCAAGGGAAGACAACTGTATAACGCTCTCATCAATGTGAGAAATAAACTGGACTACGTTTCCCCTGGGCCACCTATTGGCCAGCAGACCCCAGAAAGATACCTGATCTAATTGACTTCGCCAAGGCCCTTCTGGACCTTTCTTCAGATCACTCGCCGCTCTTGATAAGCCTCCTTCAAAGCTCAGAAACTACGGATCGCCCCTACAGGCTGACGTCGCACAGAACCAATTGGATTAAATACAAAAAGTATAAGAGTTCCCACATTGAGCTAGCCCCCCAGATCAATACTGAAGCCGACATCGAGTCCTTCACCTCCGCCCTGGAAGAGGTGCTTGTGACTGCAGCCAGGATCTAAACACCACAACAGACGGATATGCAAAAAATCAAATTTAAAACGAACCAGCTCGAAGCAACGTCTAAATGAAGCCACACGCAAACTAAGCCGGGCCCTGAAGCAAGATGCCGAAAATGCACAATTAAGATATATAAGGAAAAGCCATGAAACGCCATGAAAATGTACCTTTTATGGCGATTAAGGATTTTCTTTGGTCACACTGGACAGCTGTTTGTAAACAAATATTCAAAAAAAATATTTTAAATAGTAATAAATATGGCATTAAAATGTCCTTTGTGGGTTAAATTCCATATTATGGGCTTCGCCTTGACAGCCCCTATCAATGCCACTTTTTTCCTTCAACTTTCCCTCCATTAGGGGTGTAAGAATAAATCAAATGAATTATTGTTACACCCCGAGATCAGCTGTTTACTATCTTGATCTGGCAACGCCATTAAATTTTCGCAGGTATCATTTTCGTCGTCAGAGTAACAGCAAAAACGACGATGCAAAAGTTCTTCTTCCTTTTTCGACACCGTTTTTTATATGCATTTTGGCCGCTGCCTAAATTTAGACAGCGGATTTTCGTCGTCAGAGTACTAGGCTTAAAACAACAAAATTCGAATTGGTGAGGGGTTGATAATTCCATCGCAACAAGTTATCGCCAAGACTGCCAGTTCTATATTTCTAATAACTTTAATAGAGGGCCAAATATATTGGTTATAAATAATGCTATTAAATTTATTTACTTAAATGGTAAAAAAATTACCAAAAAAAGTAATTGAAACCACCGGATTTAGAACTGTGAAAAATGTTGCAGAATCTTAGATCCCTAGCCTCATTCTGGCTTCGAAACAAGCGATTGCAAATGTTAAAGGCAGTTCTTCACTTTTGCTGGCAGCTAAAAACGTATCGTACGATTTCGCCCAAATCGAAATCGATAAAAATATACGATTACCGGAGCAGGCCTGATAAAAAATCATAATGCATAAAGCCCGGGAGCTCTAAACTTTGAATAAAATTATTATTTTCTTTTGTTTTTAATAATAATACCTTATAATATTTTTTTACCTGCAAATTAAGTTCAAAGAAAGAAATGTACGTTATTTCTTTCTTTGAACTTAATTTGCAGTTTGCAATTATAAATTTATGAATACGCTGAGAAAAACAAAGTAAAGCCACCTATAAAATGTAGTGTCGTCTGATTTGCATCAAACTAATATCAAAATTTTAAAGTAATTAAAATTTTCCATATCTTATATAACACAAAAATATGTTGGAAAACGGCGAAATTAAAATATATTTCGTTTAATTTATCGATCGTTCTATATATACTTTACATATATACTGCAGGGGTATGTATACAAATATCAGAATGTGAATTAACTTTGGCTTTATAATATATCTTATTAAATGTATCTGAAAGATAATTTTGAAATATTCAAGTTAACGAAAACTGTTAAAAAAAAATAATTTAAAAAACGTGGCAGCTTTTTCTCCGACTAAAGATAGCTTTTTCACTCTTGTTTATATTATACACACACAGAAAATAGTATATATTTATTTGTCGGTATGTATCTCAAAGTATATATAAAATGCCGAAAGACAGAGCACAAATACTTTTGGTTATACGTGAAAAGCTCGCTGAAAGTGTTAGAAATTTTCCCGAAGAAAATTGTTCTGTTGCTTTAAATAATAATATGAGTTAATTGTATTTATTTTTAATAAAGTAACAAAAAATCGTACAGTGGCTAAATTAATTTGATTGGATTTAGTTTAAAAATTAATTTCAATGAACAATTTTTTATTTAAAACTGCCTTATCGTATTTATCTATATTTATATATGTATTTATTTTACATCCTAGTTTATTGTTCAAAAATCAAGTGAAGTAATATTGGATTTGCAATGTGTTTGAAGTTAGTACGTAAATTCTCTAAAAATAATTATAGCGGTGCTCCAAAAATAGATTTCACTTACTTACCTATTTCATACACAATTAGATAGGCACTTATCTATATATTTTATATTTATATCTACATATATAAAACCATAATATTATTGAATATATTATTATAAATACCTAGTATCATATAATCATATGAAGATTAGCAGCTTATTTTTCAATGAACTAGTGAGAGTGTATTCAATCAAATATAATATTCGTTATTTTTTTAAATTAGTGGATGTGAATAGAAAAATGAGAAAAAAATAATACTTTTACTGTGATTTTGTTGTACATTAAAAACACGAAATTTGCTTAAAAACGTTTAAAAATCAGCAGACATGCATTTACAAGAGAATATCAGGTACGTAAATTCTGGGGATGGTTTATTCAAATAAACCTATATAACCCAAAAATAAGTGTTAAGTCTATCGGTTAAATAAAGTCACTACTTTACGAGCCGGAGCTGGAGAATCGATACTTAGATGCCATCGAATAGGTCCTGCCTTTTGAAGGGCGCATGCGCAGTACTCTGATTGGAAAATTGGAAAAGTAGAAGTTATATTCTATGTCAGCTGCTGGCTTTTCAGTTTAATTGAGAAAAAAATAGCGAAATCAATAATAAGTATTTTAATTTTCGAAAAAACATAATGTATTTGAAATAAATAGTATCCCAGTTTGTGTGTAGTCAACATAACAAGCTGACAGAAGCGGACTCCAGGTTATAGTAAAAATTCTGTCCATTAAAAGGGGTTTATTCTAAATGTTCGACAAAATCGCTAAAAAAAAAGGTAGAGCTGCTGGTATGTAACTGTAAAATTTATAAGAAATTACTTTATTCACATCAATTTCTCTAAAAATGTATCCTTTTGTCTCTATATATTCAACTTTTAAGATCTAAATATGTTAAAGCTATTGACGCTTGTCAGCAATTTCTTATTAGTAAGGTTCAAAGGAGAATAATAACTATGTATGTGGGGTTGTTTTTTTTCTTACCATTAAGGGTAAATAACAAAGATACTTCGTTACTATGGCTAGTGCTGACAGAATCTACGAAACAAGATTTCCGACTCAGATAGACAAAGTTGCTATATATTAGTAAGAATTGTATAAAGAATAAAAAATAAATAAAAAATTAAGTGTAACAAAATAAACAAATAAAACAATGACTAAAAATTTATGATAAATCTTTTTTCCTTATTAATGTTCACAGTTGTCTTTGTGAAACATTCAAAAGTGCAATCAAATGAAAAAATTTTAATTTCTACAAAATATAAAAAAACGAATAGAATTAAAAAAATTAATTTAACATTTTTTCAGTGCCAAAAAAAAAAGTGTTTAACAGCAGTGAATTTTGCAGCGAAATAAATTTATTTTATTATATATTATATTATATTATAATATTTTTATATATTTAGTTGTATAAAATGTTAGAATTACTTAAACACATCGGCGATACATTTAAGCGTATAGGAACGACTCAACCAAAGCAAGACATGCATAAACCTCTGCTATTCTCCTAATATTATATCCTTGAAGGGTATTATTAATTTAGCGGCAAATATAAAAAACACGAAAATATATTAAACACACGCATAAAGATAAATGTTACAAGCGAAAAATTTAAAGCGCTGTAGGATCAAAAAAGTATACAAACTGAACTAAACTGTATTTGCTTTAGTTGAATAGAATTATTTTTAAATGCATTATGAAGGGAAAATTTAAAGGACAAAATATTTTTAGAGAACAAAAAAAATGTCTCCCGCGATTTATAGATTTTGCAATCCTCTACCAGCATGGCGCATTTGCTCTTGGTTAGGGAAAAATCATTAAACAAACTAAAATTCATCGTCATCTAATTTATTTAAATTTAGTGCGGCTAAAATCTGACTTAATCTGTGGTTTTGCTGTTGTTCAATGGGGATGGGGATGTAGGTCTGTGGGAATCGGGGTTTCACATCTGCGAAATATCCTAACTGTTTTACACGAATTTACTGTGTGGGAAGACAGTCAGGTCTGCTCCGGTAATCGAAATCGAACATTTTTTCGTTTTCGTTTTTAAAAACGAGAATTCGGCGCTCCGGTTTTCGAAAACGAGCGATTTTTTCGATTTAAAAAACGGGCACCTTTGTCTGGCCGCAATGAAAAGTAAATGGCTTTTTATACCCTTGCAAGGTATTATAATATCAGTCAGAAGTTTGCAACGCACTGAAAGAGACGTTTCCGACCCTATAAAGTATACAATTATTGATCAGCATCAACAGCCGAGTCGATCTAGCCATGCCCGTCTCTCCGTCTGTCCACCTGTCCGTTTCTACGCAAACTAGTCCCTCAGTTTTAAAGCTATCTAAATGAAACTTTGCATATAGCCTTCTATATACTCTCACTGCTATATATGTCGGAATGGGCCGGATCGGTCGACTATATCATATAGCTGCAATACAAATGTTCGATAAATTTTTGGAAAAAAAATTATAACTTGGCTGTTTATCAACATTTATGCACCATTTTTTAGATAAAATTTTTTCGTAAAAATTTCATGAAAATCGGACGACTATATCTTATAGCTGCCATAAGAACGATCGGGCAATTAATAGGAAAAAAAACTATAACTTCGTTGTTTTTCAACGTTTTTTCATCTACTCCGGGATGTAAGCTTATTTTATTATTCTAAAATTTTGGTATAAATTTCATAAAAATCAGACAACTATATTATATAGCTGCCATATAAACGATCAGTAGATGTAGAGAAAATGTAAAGCTGGGAATGCAAAACTGTAACTGTCAAACTGTAAACATAATAAGTATAGGTAAAATGTAATGAAATAATATCTGCAAGGGTATACAAACTTCGACGTGCCGAAGTTAGCTTCCTTTCTTGTTTTATATGAAATCAGATCTTATTTACAAAAGGAAAAAAATTGTTTACTCAGTGGTCTATTGATGTTTATTCCACACCACCATAAGATCATTCTGGCAGGTAGTTATTTTATAAAAAATGTATTTCTGACCCCACCTCAGATTTGACAACAAAGTTTTTGCCGTGTTCAAAAAAAAAATTTAGAGGGGTCGATAAGTTCATCGCAAAAAGTTATCGCCAAGGCTGCCAAATTGTAAAAATACTTATAAAATATAAAAGAATACATTAAAAACTTTAAAGGAGTGTCAAAAAAGTTATATATAAATAATGTTATTTAATTTGATTTTTTAAATGGTCAAAATTGACCAAATAATAATTAATTGAGACCACCGGAATAAAAATTGTGAAGAATGTGCCAGCATCTTAGATGCCTAGATTTGCTTAACTACAGCATTTATTGCCTTTTCCTGGCTTGGAAATAAGCAATTCTAAATATTTGCATTTGTGAGGAACGGTTGGGATTTTTCACAAATGCGAAACTCGTGTTCCCACAGAGCTGCGTTAAAGTGCATCCGCATCCAATAACAGCTGATCGATCAGCTGTGACTCATAAAAACATAAACAAAGATGGGTGATGCGGCCGATGCGGGAGTAGAATGAATAGTTTAGCAACTATTTCGGCTGTTTAACAACAGCAAAACCACAGATTGCCACAAAGTTGCACCGAAAAACTATTGCCTAATTATCGCCAACAAACGGTGGTTAAATTAAGATACACTAACCGCGGTCCAACATGAGAAAATTCAGAACGGCAAAACCTTATGGACCGTTTGTTCAACGGACGGTGGATGTGCTTTGACGGTGTGTGGGAAGACCCTATAACACCTCCTTTTCTTTTTTATCTGACCCTATTTAAATTTTAAAGTAAACAAAATACTAAACACCAAAAGAGTTTGGCGTTGGACATCGATACTGTGTAGTGCTGGCAAAAAATCGATTTTTTCCATTATCGATTTTTCGATGTTTTTACGGACGAAACATCGATAGTATAGATTTTTTTTTTAAATATATATATATATATATAATCATTTTAATAGTTTATCTCTTTATTTTATGACAACAAATCAACTGTAATATTTAATTATTTTAATATTAACAAGCTCCAGTATCCCGATTTTCCTACTTTTTGCCTTTTTGTCCGAATTTGGGCACACATATAAATTAAATTTGCAGGTTCTAGACAAAAGTAGTTAAATATGATTACCCTTTTGCCATCTCTACAACCGAGTGCCAATCACAAAATAAGAATTTCGCTAATTTATACAAAAAAAATTATTTAGTTTTTCGCTTTAATTTAAACACTTTTACTTACTTTAAACCAGGCAAAAAACATCGATAGTCCAAAAAAAATCGATGTTCTGAGAAAAAAAGTCAAACATCGATAGTATCGATAGTGCTCCGATGTTTTGCCAGCACTAATACTGTGCTTATTATCTGGGGAAGTGGCCAAACTGCAAAAAATAAATAATAAAAAAATTAAAAATATTCGAAATGCTTTTCTTTACGATACTGTGCCGAGAATGGCTTTGGCATCCTATAAAATCAGAAGACATATATATTTATTTGAAAATAAGACCGCCCAGTAATGAAATATCTACATATGTATGTACATACTTCAGTATGTACATATTGTATATACTTTTGATAACTGAAAATCTTACATTTATTTTTCAGAAACGATAAAAATGAATCTGCGCCCGATAATGGTGCATCTCCCTCATTCAACCAGGAGCACCAAATAGACTCTAGGCGGGACTTTCAAAATAATCTATTAAGATTTCACCCACCGCCGTCATCGAAACCACCGCCACCCGCGGCTGTGGGCGCTGCCATCTTGCAGTCTCGTCTCCTAAGGCATATACAACACGCGGGGCCAATTCCAGTGGAGGCAAAGGATATTAATATATATAGAGGAGAGGCAACAATCGAAGAGCATCGGTATCCAAATGCTTTGCAACGATCGGCCACCTTGCCATCGAAGCACAATCGGTTAGGTTTGCGCAGTCGCGTCACCTTTAAAGTGCCATCATCACCGATACCTCCGGTACCTCAAACCCCAATTCCTGATCCCAATCTTAACACTGAAAAGTTCGCCAAGATCGTAGTTGGAGCCAAGGAAAGGGAATCCAGCAAGATGACTTCCGAAGATCTGTTGCAACCGGGCCACGTGGTGAAGGAGCGTTGGAAGGTGAGGATTGTTTATATATATATGTACATATAACTTTCTTAACAGTCGAAACTTTTATATATTTACTACTATTATCATTCTATTCTAAGGCCTCATTTACACTAGGTTGTGTTATTGCATTATGAATAAATATGAATACATAATAAACATTAGTGTAATTGGTCATAAAATTGTGAAAGAAATTCAAAAATTATAAGAAAGGAAGAAAATTTTGGCCAACCGAAGTATATATTCAATTGTAGTTATAATGATAAGCAACAGAATTAATCTAGCTGTACATACTACGTCATATATCTGCCGAGATTTAATAGAACAAGTTATACCTTCGCTGGTTTTCAAAAAATTTTATAATTTCGGTTTTAATTTTATAAAAGTCCAAGGACTGTTACATATTACACGTTCCATGTTTTCATTAAAAAAAAAAACAAGTAAAAATGCCAACTTTGGCACGCCTAAGTTTGTATATCATTAAAAATCGGTTAAATTGGTCAAATGAAGAGAAAAATAGGTTAGGTTAGGTTAAACCGGACGGTCCTCATGGGGCCACGCATGGCCCTTAGTTGTCCGGGAAATTTCTGGATTGACCTAAAGACTATTTATGCGAGTTTCAAGGTCCTTAAAGATTACAGTGTTTTTTCGCAAAGGCAAGGAGATCGCCTGGCTTCCCCTGAATGCATATTCTAGCGATGCCAGAACCGGAGAGCCTAGGTATCTCTTCCTTGCCCTCGTTATGGTCGGACATTTGCAAATGAGATGCTCCAAGGTTTCGGTTGCCTCGGATTCATCACATTTCCGTCATTTAGCGTTTTCGGTAATACCCAGCTTGACTGCATGTGCAGCAGACACGCAGTTACTTGCTAGAATTTCCACTAACATCCTGCAATCCTTCCGTGAAAGATGCAGCACGTATTGAGTGAGTTTGTAGTTGCGCTGTTTGCACGTGGTCTCGTTACCGTCTTGGTGGCTGGGAACCCAGTAGATCCTCACTGACTTAGTCGTGCTCAGGCTATCTAGTGACTCCCTGCTTGCTAGGACATTTTTGGGACTGATCGCTGATGATTGCATGGATCTTATCGCCGCTTGACTGTCTACGAACAAATTGACCGCCTCATGTGGACGGTTTATGCTCTGCTGCTTTCCTAATGGCGTGTTAATCGCTTTTAATGCCACGGATATGTCCACGAACACTCCGAGTGCATATTCCTTATTGTGTAGGGCTCTCTCAATGGTGGCTACTAACGAATGTAGTGCAGTCTAAACTGATTTCCCCTTTGTGTAGGCTTGCTGGTTGGTCGACAGTAGTCTCCCTACATCGTTCCTGTTGTAAAAGTCCAGCAGCTTTTCCAGCGTCCTGGGAAATGCGAATGCATTAGTGCTGTAAGGGCCTCTTCGCTGCCTGTCCGTCGTCGCATTTGAGCTGACTTTGGCTGCTTTGATAACAGCTTCCGGAGTCTATCCGTTTCTGGGGTATATTGGTAGGACTTGGTAGGACTTTGTATTCCTCATTGATGATATCATTTTTCCCCTGCTTGGCGATTTTGAAGAATTTTTTTGTGTTTGTTTCTTCGGAGTGAAGGGTCCTTATTCCACCAGGATGGCCTGGTCCTCTTTTTCGTGTCCGATATTGGTCATGATACGTGGAACGCATTAAGCAGTTCTTTGGAGAGGGTCTCTAGGGACTTTTCTATGTCTTCCGTGGATCCTACTATGCCCGGAGAGGTCGGGAACCGTGTTGCGATAGTCTCCTTAAACTTTTGGAACCGTATGTACTTATGATCTGAGAAGGATGGTCTCTCAAGGACTCTCCATTCTGATACCAAAGTACCTTGTCCCCTTACACGAGTAAGATCTAGCACGTTTGAGGAGGTGGGTCCTACAAAGGTGTCTTCCTCCACCACGTTTGCTATACTTAGGTTGGTTGAAAATATAAAGTCTAAGAGTGACTCACCGAAGTGGTGCGCGTTGGCGTCTGCACCCACGAGCAGTTGCTAGTCCTTTGGGCTAGATTCTACCAGGCTCCTGAGTTATTCTTAGTTCTGAGTTCTTCCGCGCTCTAGCATCACCACGGTCAGGAGGAGTTCCGCCGACGCAACCTTGCTCTTATGGGGGTTGAGCTGCTCCCTGAGTGTCATGGGTACTGGGCTTACCTCCATACGACGGGTTGACTACTACGGTCAGGTTACCGTCCTCTCCTTCGTCGGACATATCCAGCGTCATTCCCTGGGCGGCATCCACGATGTTTTCCAGACCTAGGTCCTTCGGCGGTTTTTGAGGCGCAGATATAAGCCACCCATGCCCCACACCATCTTCTCGTATCTGGGATACATGATGTCTTCTGCTTCCTTGCTTGGAGGACTGCATTTTGGCCCCCCTCCTTCGGTAATGAGGTTGCAACGTGCAGAACATTCCAGTCCGAGTTTGGTATGTCCGGATTCCGGACAGCAGAAGGTCGTGCACAAGAATCTCAAGAACATCGTGACGAACGTCTGCGACAGAATATTACGAGAAGAAGAGCGGCACGAGAACGAAACATAGATACAGCACGAGTACAAGAATGACAAAGGCAGCGGACCAGTCGCTTATTGACACGTATATCATTCGTTCGTCTTGATTTTGAATATGCACCAGATATTACTACTCTGCGCATTCAAAAATTTGCTATCGGTGGAATGGATAAAGTATATCAATACTGTCAGACATTAAAATTTCGGAATGAACCACCCGGCATGTGCTGTGCATCAGGAAAAGTTGTGCTGTCACCTCTATCCACTTCGTCGGAACCTTTATTATACCTTCTTGCTGGCAATTCCAACTTTGCGATCTTGCATCCAATGGACGTAATTTTGAAACTACATTTAAAATACAAGCCAGGTTGTATCATAAAATAAGGTCATTGATGCCAATGCCTGACGATAATCTGAAATTTCTTCAAATTTATTTTATGTGGACGACTCGGTGCCATTATAATTCCATTAAAGAAGCAGTACAGGAAATCAACTAATTCGATTAAAAGAGTTTCGCCACGATTGCGAAAGGACAACTATTAAATCGTCTTAATAGCCGACAAAGTACTATTAGGGGAACATGGTGGTAGATTCAACGTAATGCATTAAACTGCCAGACTATTTTTGCACTGTTCTTCAGGATAAAAATAATTTGATTCAGAGTATTTTTCCGGAGATTCAGAATAATTATTTGAATAATAACTTAGTCATCGGGCGATTTTGGCAGCCAAAAATGTTGATGTTGACGAAATTACTTCCAGATACAACAGTTGGTAACAGGCAATCTTTTTCCTTTTAAATCAATAGATACTACTGTTGATGAAAATGAAATTGTAAAATTTCTAACTAAATTTTTAAGTCACTAGATATACCTGGAATGCCACCACATAATCTTCGAATAAAGATTGGTTCCCCTATTATTATCCTACGTAATTTGAATCCACCTCAATCCAACCTCAAAATTCAATCATCAATCAATTCATCAGTGTATAAGCAGAATAAATTGAGTTGTATATATTTCTAACGGCAAGCATTTTCTTTAATTTCTTGGTTCCCAAACGAAAATATTGTAATTTCGCTCAAAAAAAATTGTAAGCGATTAAGTTAGTACTAGGCAATAGACAACTGTGACCACTCAATTTTAGTACTTTGAAAAATTCGTAAAAGTTCGGCGTTTTAACACTTAAATCTACTGAATACGAAATGGATGGGTAGTCCAATTGAAATCTGCATTTTTATGGCATTTTTTCGCTTATGCTACGTTTTTTTGGCGTGCTATTTTGAGCGCAGTGATAACAGAATTTCAAAAACTATTTAATATTATTATTATGATTTATTATTATTATTATTATTAACTATTTTAACTTTACCTTTGCAGGTCGTTCGGAAAATTGGCGGCGGCGGATTCGGTGAAATATACGAGGGTCAAGACCTTATTACTCGCGAGCAGGTTGCTCTGAAAGTAGAGTCTGCGCGCCAGCCCAAGCAGGTTCTCAAAATGGAAGTGGCCGTTCTTAAGAAACTGCAGGGGAAAGAGCACGTTTGCCGTTTTATCGGCTGCGGCCGCAACGATCGATTTAATTACGTAGTAATGCAGTTGCAAGGCAAGAATCTAGCCGAGCTTCGACGCGCTCAGCCGCGGGGTGCATTTTCCCTTAGTACAACACTTAGGTTAGGCTTACAAATCCTAAAGGCCATTGAATCGATACATTCGGTTGGATTTCTTCATCGTGATATAAAGCCGGTAAGCCCCTTCCCACTCAAAAAAAGTCAACCAGAGCTTAGAGCTGTAAAAACATTGATAGTGGCGCCATCGATTTTTTGACCCATCTCCGTGACTGCAAACTTCTGACTACAATTATAATACCCTTATAAAAGTATACTAAATTTAAATTTTGAAGGTATTTCTTCAAAATTTTATAATATTTTGTTTAAGTATAATTTTATTATATTAATAAATTTTAAATTTAATTTCAATAAACTCATTTATCCTCTTCATTTTTTCTAAGCCGGCTCTATTTTTATTTTCTGTTTTTATTACATGATAAGGCTGAAAGAAGGATTGAAAATAAAATATCAATAGCTTTAATCAATAGCACCAACGATTTATTCTCTCATCAAAATTTTCTCGGTTGTCTTTTTTTGTACCTACTACTTTAAATGTACAATGCATAAAATGAGTTGAATAAATTTGAATGAGAAGTTTTTCGGTCATGAGTGAGTGCGCTCAACGACGTCTGAGTGCAATATGATCAAACCGCCCAAAATTCCCTAATTAAAACACATCAACTTGAAGCTTTACCAATCCTAATTTTATAGTTATAGAAAGATACTGGACAAAAATTATTCGGGTCAGGCAAATATATCCTATAGATTTCATAGAAACGATTGAGCAAATTTAAAGATAAATCCATAAATCTTTTGTTACATAAAGATTACGTAATTTTAAATAAATTTGAATAATTTAATAATAAGAACTATCTGAAAATAGTGCATCTTCGGATACAATTGCATAAAAAGTGGATGTTAAATCACACTTTCACCCTTTACAATTTTTGTATTTCAATTGTTTTTATCTAGATGACATATTCCATTGATTAAATTTGATATTTATTAGTCTGCATGAGTTTAAAGACATTATTAAAGCTATTTAATTGAAAATTGCATACAAGTTGTGCACTTTTATTGTAAATTTAAACATATGTGGTCAAATATGGAATTTATTTTTGTATTACATTCCCTTAAAATCCCAATAGGTCCCAAGGTGGCACTAGATGGGACTTTTATACCTTTGCTGTGTATTATAATTTTGGTCAGAAAAATGCAACGAAGTGAAGGAGTTCATTCCGACTCCATAAAGTATATATCTATATTCTTGATCAGCATCAACAGCTGAGTCAATCTAGCCATGTCCGTCTGTCCTTTTCTACTCAAACTAGTCCCTCAGTTTTGAGAACTGTCTGAATAAAACTTTGCAGATAATGCTTTCACTATTTTAACTACTATATATGCCGGAACGGTCCAGATCGGCGGATCATATCATATAGCTGTCATCTCAAAATTTGTTGAAAACAAAATTATAACCGTTTTTCTTCTATGTCTTCCGCGAATTCTGTGCCCGGAGAGGTCGCGAGCCTTACCGCTATAGTCTCCTTGAACTTTCCCCAGTTAGTATTCCGGGGGTTCCTGAAGCCTGATTGTTTTGGAGAGTGTTCGAATAATAATCTGAGATGGATAGTCTCTCAAGGTCTCTCCAGTCTGATACCAAAGTACCATGTCGCTATACAAGAGTTAGATCTATCACGTTAGAGGAGGTGGGACTTACAAAGGTGTCTTCCTCCACCACGTTTGCTATACTTAGGTTAGTTGAAAATATAAAATCTAAGAGTGACTCACCTCTGTCGGTTATGTCGGGGCTTCGCAGTGGTGCGCGTTGGAGTCTGCACCCACGAGCAGTTGCTGGTCCTTTGGGCTGGATTGTTCAGTATTCCGTCGTGTGCCAAGTAGCAGGAAGCTACCAAAAGGCGCCCTTTTCCGCTCTCTAGCATCACCACAGTTAGTTCAACAGAGCTGTAAGAAGATATTAGATTAGCGTGTAGATCTTCCGTACAAGTACGCCGGTTCTGTTCCTGCTCACCAATGGTCGATGGAGCAAATTGTAGTTTGCGGTCTTCAGTCCGGCGATGGCTCCTGGACCAAAGCTATGTCGGCGGATCCTTTGCTCCATGGCTATGGGGAGTTCCACCGACGCGACCTTATTCTTATGAAGGTTGAGCTGCAGCACCCTGAGTATCATAGGTAGTAGGCTCACCTCCATGCGACGGGTTGACTACTGCGGTCAGGTCACCTTTCCCTCGTCTGAATCGTCCAGCGTCATTCACTGGGCCACATCCACGATGGTTTTCAGTCCTAGGTCCTTGTCCAACTCGGCTGCCTTCAGGGTGTGCCCCTGCCATCTTCTCGTATCTGGGATAGAGGATGCCCTCTGCCTCCTTGGAGGGCTGCATTTTGGCCGCCCTCATTGGGAAATGGAGTCGCAACGTGCAGAACCTTCTGCAGTAGGTCCAGCGAACGGTCCCCTTGGATTGCGATGGGGAAGAGTACCTTCGCCTTAGGAATGGCTGGGATTAGCACCCGGTCCACGACCTCCAGCTTGGCTCCCTCCCACAGCGCCTCCAACTGGCAGACCGCTTACGTCAGCCACTTTCTCGTCAGGTCATCCATGCACTTTAGGATTTTGACCCAATTTAGCCACCCAGCAACATCAAATGTGGGGATTGGAAGCTTCCGAATCTCCTCCGTGCAAATAATGACTCAACGAGCCGGGCATTCACCATCTTCCACCGCGCCTCGGTCATCTTGCCGGCTTCATTGCTTCTGTCAATGAGTGCCATGATCAATTGTCGTTTGGTCACCTCACTGCCTTTTGTGGTATTGTTGGTCTTTTTGGGGAAGGCCTGCTGCCTTAGGCCCACGTTGGCGCTTACTCCCCGGTGCGTAGTTACAGGCGCTCTCGGCTGATCGTTGCCTTTTGTTGACAAGCGTGTCCTCCACCTTGTTGGCAAATCGGCCCGTCGAGTTCATGTGGGGGAGTTTGGCGAAATGAAGCCTGCCCTCAGCGATCCCCTCCTTGTCCCTTCTCCTCTGGGAATAGGGCGGCTTTTTTCTGGAGCCGACTCTGTGCCTTAGGCTTCACCCCCTCGCTTTGACATTTTGGCCCGTCCCTACGCGGGGATCTGGCGAGCGGAGAAGGCTTTCCTCCTCCTCTTTGGATAGCTGCACGCCAAGGTCCGAGTCTGTATCGGCTATGGCACCTGGGCGGCTTAGCTTCCCCTGGGTCGTTTTTGTGCCAGCAGCGTTGTGAGAGACATGACCTGCTCACGTCACATCAGAGATGTAACCGCTGGCCACACGCAGAGAGAATTGTTCTTCCCGTGCCCGGCGGTGGTAGCTGTCACGCCTTTCACAGACGGTTGGGCTGACATCGCCCCGATTTCTTCCGTCATGCCTTCCCGAATGGTGTTTTTTTCGGGGGAACCACCCACGGGCGTTTTATGCCTGCCGTCAGGCACCTGCAGCAATGGTTTATTTCCACCGGCTTTTTGGCCAAAAGGAATTAAACCGTAGCCTTTGCTAGACACTGTATTATCGCGGACGGAGCAAGCAGCGATGCCGGGTTAATACTGTGCCCATTGCCCAGCCAGCGCCCTCGGGAGGGTACCTTTAAAAAAAAAAAATCTTATAATAATGATCAAATTGAAAACTGCAACAGTATGTATACTTTCTTCTTAAAAATTCGTTTTCCATAAGCTATGTTTTTTCTAATTTTCGTATGCTAGGGGTTATTTTTTTTTTTTAAATAAATATCCTTAAGGAACTCTTTGACAAAATATGCTATGCTTTAACCAATTTTGGCCAAAGTATGTTGGTGTCAAGTAGTATGAAGGAGTCTGAAACTAGAAAAAAGAAAAGGTGGCCTGAGGGAATGGAAAATTTTCTGAGGCCAAATTCAAATTCAGCGCATCGGAAAACCTTCGGAAAGTATATTCTGCTTTTGGTTCTTCGATTTTCCCATATTTTTTGTCTACCTGTGTTATTTATTTAAATTGAATTGGTCCCACCTATACATGTGCAATGACATGGCTGATGTTGCTTGTAAAAGAGGCTTTAATGCCTTGCAGATAGCACTTGATTGACTAGGTGGAGTGAGTGAGTTGCTTTGTGACAGCAAATAAGTAATGATTCGGATTGGCGTAAAAACATTTACTGATTTTATCACTGTCACATAACGGTATTTATAGTTAAACATGGTTTAATCAATATGCTTATATTAATAGAAATAGTGTGCAAAAGTAAAGCATAATATGCATATGCTCTTTACCTGGAACTTTATTGTTGTGACATAAATATTGCTGCGACTGAAGAGTTATTATATAACATACGCAATCTGTGTTTTTTTTGTTGTTCAACAGTCTTAATAGCTGTTCACAACAGCTCCACAACAGCCGCTTCAGCCATCTTTGTTTATGTTTTAGATGTGGCACAGCTGATCGATTAGCTATAATCGTGTGCAGATGTAGCTATGTGGAAACATGAGTTTTACATTAGGGAAAAATCTCAACTCTTTGACCTAGAGTGGGAAGACAGTATTAACATTCCCACGGTGCTCTTTCTTTAAGTCGTAATATACTATTATAGTTCATTCTGAGATTGCCACAGCTCTGAGCCTATTCCTGGCTGATTTTCGAAATGGGTCTCAATTATTAGTTGTCTCATTTCTAGTGGAAGAATGAGTTGAACAGATCGGAAACGAAATTTTTTTATTTGTGTTCAATTTCTTCTAAAGGCATTGTTTAATCATTGAAACTGCGTGGACATTTTGTGGCTACCTCTTCCTTTAAATGCGGCGCAAGACAAGTGACTGGTTTTTTTGTATTTTTTTTTTATTTATTTCCAAAAAATTGCAAATTGTTGGCACTTAAAGCCATTTCCTCACCTCTGACTGGGTAGGGAGTATTTTTTAACGATATCCTCCGACTCACATCAGGTGGGTTAGTAAAATTTCTGTATTAACATCTAAGGATAATTCAAGATGCAACAAAAAGCATAATTCATTATAAAACGAACATAAAACGCGGAAAGGGCCATGCATCTTGAAATTTGATTAACACAAATCAAAAAGGTCTGTCAACCATTTACTTCTGCTTAGGAAACTTAATTTAGTGGGGTTTCTGGTTGATCTTCTTAGATGGATCTCAAGTTCTCTAAATGGCATAACGCAAAGGGTAATTTTTTAAAATAATTAGTCTAACGTTCTCCGGGTTATTTTTGGCATCCCATATGGAATTCATTTGGTCCATTTATTGTTTATATTATTTATGAACGATCTGCCCAAAGTTCTGGCTAACTCCAGATCATTTCCAAACGTGCCACGTAAACTTAAACGATTTTCAATTAAAGCTAATGACATTCTCTCGTGTCATTCTTTAGCTTACGACTTATAAACTGAAGTGCTGCTTTTTGGAAAGAATTGCTATAGTTGATGACTTAGGCCTTATTTATTTATTTTTCTTTGTTTTGAATTTTCAAACGGTGGTCAAATGAATTCTATGACCCGTACGTTACAAAATCCTTATATACTTCAATGGTTCGTCATATCTTAGAATATGGATCTTGCGTTTGGAGCCCTCAGTATGACGTCCACAGTAAACGCATCAAATCGGTTCAAACGAATTTATTTTCGCTTTGCAATGCAAACAAGTAGGTTACCTTCTAGTAGACTCCTACTAATTATCTTACCTTCTATATCAAACCGTAAAACCATGCTAGGTAACCTTATCCGCGGTGAAGTGGACTGCTGACTTGTTGGTTCAGCTTAATTTTGACGTCCTGAGTAGAAGTACTAGAACCTTTATAACTTTAGTGTTGTTCTACAGGTCCGATGTGCAGATTATAATAATCTGTACTCAATAACATATATAGCCTTTTTAAACTAAAATCTTGAATCTTAACCCATCTTGCATGCAAGCTAACAATCAGGCATTATTTTCTAAATTCCAAGCACGTGCTTGGTGTGACAAGGCCCACGACAATGTCCTAAACATAGTGCATCAACGTCTAAAAAAAATATAAATCCATATTTATTATTTTCACAAATTAATAATTGTAGAGCAATTTCTCTGTGGGGCGATTGCCTTATAATTGTCGACGCGTCTACATGTTGGACTTTGGGTTGGCGCGTCAATATACCACAGGAACGGGTGAAGTTCGATGTCCCAGAGCTGCAGCTGGTTTTCGTGGCACTGTTCGATATGCTTCCATCAATGCCCATCGCAATAGGGAAATGGGACGACATGATGATCTATGGTCCCTTTTCTATATGCTCGTTGAGTTCGTAAACGGTCAATTGCCTTGGCGTAAAATAAAAGACAAGGAACAAGTGGGATTAACGAAAGAGAAATATGATCACAGAATATTGCTTAAGCATCTGCCGTCAGATCTAAAGCAATTCCTAGAGCATATACAGTCGCTAACCTATGCCGACCGCCCAGACTATGCGGTAAGTTTAATAAGTTTAATAAGTTTAATATTTAACAAAAATTATATATTAATTATTTTAGATGCTCATAGGACTGTTTGAGCGGTGTATGAAACGGCGAGGCGTCAAAGAGTCAGATCCTTATGACTGGGAAAAAGTTGATTCAACTGCTATCCTCGGCAATATCAGTGCAACAACAGCAGGAGGCAACCCCCTGGTTCCCCTTAAAAACGATTATGTCCACGGAAATATAACACAAATGACTGTGGCTGCATCCAATGCAAGTGGAACGGAATATGTGAGTTTATCGCCAAGCCATTTTTTTACCCTTGCAGGGTATTATAATTTTAGTCAGAAGTTTGCAACGTAGTGAAGGAGACATTCCCGACCCTATAAAGTATATATATTCTTGGTCAGCACCAACAGCGGAGTCGATCTAGCCACGTCCGTCAGTCCTTTTCTATGCAAACTAGTATCTCAGTTTTTAAGCTATCTAAATAATACATTGCAAATAGTCTTCTGACTATTCTCACTACTATATACATATGTCGGAAGCGCCGGATAAGACGACAATATCATAGAGCTGTAATAGGAATGAAGGAAAACGTATAGACAATAAATTATAACTTCTTTGTTTTTGACATATTTTCATATTCTTTGAGATATGACATTTTATTATTTTAGAAATTCGGCTATAATTTTATGAAAATCGGACAACTATATCGAATCGCTGCCATAGAAACGATCGGCACATCTAGAGAAAAATGTAAAGCTGCGAATGTAAAACTGTGGATGTGAGACTGCAAATATAAAACTATAAATATAATTACTATAGGCAAATGTAATGAAACTTGATAGTTCTTTGTTTTTTTTCTGCGTATGGATTTATTAATTTTTATTATATTATATATTTCACATCTAAAGTATTGCCAGAATGGATCGATTCTTAATGATCAAATTGCAATTTGCAAGGATATATAACTTCGGCGTGCCGAAGTTAGCTTTCTTTCTTGTTTTATTTCATTTCAATATTGATAGGGAACTCACGTTAATTAATTAATTAGCTTTCTTTCTTGTTTTATTTCATTTCAATATTGATAGGGAACTCACGTTAATTAATTAATTTTAGTTGCCGACGCGACACGTTTTCTTACTTATTTTGCTTTCAATCTCTTGACCAAATATTCTCATTTCGTTACCAGGTCCGGAAGCGATGCGACATCGAAACAGCTCACATTACAGCCACCGAGCCCTTGCATATTAAAGATAGAGTAAGTACGAAAAAAAAATCCCAATATAATACATTTTTGTGACATTTTTTTAAAGGTGGACAGAAACTGCAATGCAACGTCACTAAACCCACAGCCAAAAATTTCCGGTGAAGCTAACCTGCAGCAGCATAGTGCCAATAATCAAAATGTTGTACAAAAGAATTTGCTTGCCACAAACACGACCGTATCCATAAATCCCAACATTCAAAGTATAGCCCTTAAAACACCAGTAATTGGCATGGGAGAAAGTGACAATGTATCACAAGCAGTTTTCCAAACGAAAGGCAACCAGCAACACGGCGCCGGTGTCGGCACTGGATCGTTTTCCATGGCAAATCAAAATAACTCAGCGCCGGTGTATGGAAATTCTGTAAGTCTTTCAAATTAAAGTTTAATAAAATTAGAGGAACTCAAAGCTGTTTATGAGATACTTTTTTTAAATCCAAATAAACAGTCTAATATTTTTTATTGGTTCTGTTTTTTCTTTTGACTCGTGTGTATAACACAACTAGAAAAGTTAGGCATGCTCCAGTAATCGAAAAGGACAAATTTTTTTCGGTTTTGATTTTGAAATCGAAAATTCGTGCGCCGGTTTTCAAATTCGTTCGACTTTTTCGATTTGTAAAACGGGCACCTTTGTCTGGCCGGAATGAAAAGTAAATGGCATTTTTATATGAAATCAGATCTTATTTACTAAAGGAAAAAATAGGTTAGTCAGTGATCTATTCATATTTATTCCAGACCACCACAAGATCATTCTGGCACGCAGTTCTTTTGAAAACAATTTATTTCTGACACCACCTCAGATTTTACAATACAATTTTTTGCGTGTTCAAGAAATTTCCATCGCAAAAAGTTATCGCCAAGGCTGCCATATTGTTGTTATAACAAAACAACCAGGTAGAAATATTTCTAAAATATAAAATAATACACTAATAACTTTAATAGAGGGCCAAATATGTTGGTTATAATTTAATTTTATTTAATTTAATTACTTAAATGGTAAACAAATTACCAAGATAGTAATTGAGACCACTGGAATCGAAAACTGTGAACAATTTTGCAGCATCTTAAATCGCTAGATTTTCTCAACTCCAGCGATTCCTCCCCCCTCCTGGCTTCGAAACAAGCGATTGCAAATATAAAAGGGAGTTCTTCAGGTTTACTTTTTACCAAAAAAAAAAAAAGCAAGTCAGCTGTTTGAGCAGTAAGAAACGATGAGAAAATGAAACATTCCGATAGCAAAAATTTGACGAGAATCGAAATCGAAAAAAAAAATAACGATACCGGAGCCGGCTTGAGTATCACCAGGAGTGCAAGTTAAATAAGAAAGAAAGTCAACTTCGGGAGGCCAAACGTCGTATACGATTAAAGTTTGCAATTGGATATTGAATCAATCTCTGGGAAAATCTATTATCCCGTATTACTAAGTAAAATACATATTTCTGTCCCGTACATATTTTGAACCCTTCTACATACCAGTTTGCAGAATACTGTGCTTTAATCGAACCCATTGCAAGGGCCTTAACTCATTTTAATAATTTGCCTCGAAGCATGCAATTTAACTTAACCTCCCCAAACGGTTTAATAAGAAAAGCATTTTTAATTATTTTGATGCTGTTAACGTTAATTAAATTAGTTAAGTATAGTTAAGTAGCCAAGCAAGAATTTTATCCATTGGCAAAATAAACATATGCAAATGTGTGAATAAAAGTTAAAATACCAAATTCAAATTAGCTATTATGGCACCTACATATGTATATGAGTATCATTCAGATACCTAAGTAACTCAAAGACTAGTTCTAGACAGACATGCTGGCCAAAAATATTTATACTTCACTTTTTCAAACTTTATATTTTTGTTTAGTAATATGTTAAATAATACCAAATAAAGATTGACTACAATGAGAGAAAAAGCTGTGAGGAATGGATAATTATTATTATTATTATTATTAATTATTATTCACTAATATTATTACAGTATCCACAATCCGAGGAAAAAGCGCTATTAAATCTTCTGCCAAAGAATGCAACGAAATGCGACAAAAGCACAGTGGACACCGAAGACAACGGTATTACGAATGAACAGAAAAATATGGAAACAATCGAAGTTCATCAGCAGATTCAGAAATCACAATCACTAAATAAATCGGGAAATGCAGAAAAGAAAGAATCAAATACTAAATCAACCGAAATTCAAAAACGATCAACAGATGAACCAATAAAGTCTGCCACATTTGGTCGGCTTCGTGTCCTTACAGCCCCGCCAATGAGTGTCCACGAACTGACGGTGAATCAACAAGCATCTGGCGATTTGTCATCAATGAAACAGGAGCAGATAGCCCCGTTTACAGCTGGCAACCTTGCTGGCAGTGGAAATAGTTCATCCTCGAAATTCGCCCTCAATTTACACGGTCAAATGTTTAATATAGCCAACATGCCACCAGTCAATCGCCGTTCCGTAACATCCACCAACCTGAGACCATCATCTTCGGGGGGTGGCGGAGCAACCACAGCCACGAACTCAATGCAAAGGATAAACAGTGGATCAACGACAACAGGAGGTGGCATCACCGCCAGAAGCAGCTTAACTGGCGACCGTGATCATTCAGTTACACAGTTCGCATTAATCGATGATGAAAATGTGTCGGCATTGCAACAGGTTACCAAAGGCGGTGCCGTTACACTGGCCTCCCAATGGAAGAGTCAATTTGATGATTCAGAGGATACGACCGATAATGAATGGAATAGAGAGCCGCAGGTATGTACATATACAGTGCTATGGAGTTATAAATGGTTATAAAATGTTCCATTCAGACTAATATTATAAAATGCATAAAATGTCTTCTTTCTTAACTGTTAACCACGATTTGTGTTTTGAATTTTTAACTAATTTAAACAACCATAACAGTTTAAATGAATTAACTTAACTCTTTGAAAATAAACGTTTGCTAAGTATTGCACATTTTGCCTCTCAGTCTCAACCCAATATCGAGCCAGTGAACAAAGCGGATATATCATTACAAATTCAAAATAAGGCCGTGAAAACAGCCGCCGCTGCTGGAACAGTGAAATTAAACAAGACCCAAAACAATGGAAAAGACAGGGCGAAAAGGTAAGCTTAAATAGATAAAAACTTAAAAAACCTAGTACTTAGTATAATTACAATTTTAGCTGTTTCAGGTTTAGTACTAACATAAGATAAATTCGCTTTATAAATTTGGGGAGCAAAATTCCTGTATATTTAATTTAGGAATACGAGTGGCCAAAGAAGAATAAGATGCATGAAAATGGCCACACTAAACTAATTTCCAGCTGTTTTTCGTACACAAATTATATGAATTGGAACGGATTGGATATTGGAATATTATTGATGTATTCCGTCGCCATCCCATAACCAATTAGAAATATCATTAACGTAAGATTTGCCAGGCTTGTTAAGAAAAATTTTTTTTGCGGGCTGAATCACATATTAGGAACCTCGTCATAACTGCACACATAAATTATAATATCAAGACGTGGTTGTTATCAGCGTATAAACCCCTAAAGGGATTCAAAATTTCGCCTGTAGTGATTTATTCCTAAATGGATAAGGGTTCTAGATGTTAGTCGAGGAATGTGGGAATTGAGCTGCTTTATCACAAAAGGGATCTCAACTTCATCGTTTATTATGTTTTTAAGAAAAACATTACCAAACATCGTTCTACGGTTAGCTAGGGAGGGTAAGTTAATTAAGAGAAACCTTTAAGAATAATACAGTAATCTCAAGTCAGCATCCCAGGATAGGCCACGGAGAGCGAAAAGTAAAAAGTTTTTTTGTACAGATTTAATACGGTTAATATGGACTTCAAATTGAGGACCCCAGGGGCAAGAACCATACTCCAACATAGGGCTAACTAACGAAGCAAAAAGAGTCTTCGTTACATAAGGGGAATAGAATTCCTTCCCCCTTTTATTAAAATCGAGCATGCCTCTGGCTTTATTAACCACGCATGAAATATGTTCAGAAATCGAAAGTTTAGGGTCTAGGCGAACACCCAAATCTTCAACAAGAGTTATTCCTTCCAGAGATCAGTCATTAAGTGTATAAGTAGCAAGCTGGTCAATGACACGTGAAATTATCATCAGTTACCATTTGGAGGTGTTAAGATGTAAAAAGTTAGCATGCCACTAAAATCAAATATGTTGAATCTCTTTTGTGGAACTAAAATAAATAGTTTGCCAACAGTTTTGGTTGTTTAACAACAGGAAAACTGCAGATTGCAGCAGATTTAGTGGCATTCAATAAAAATGAATTAGATTACTATGAATTGGAGATTCTCTAATACCTTTTCTCTAACAAAGAGCCTCGAAGAGTGTGCATGGTGGTAGAGACAAAAACAAACAAACAAAAAAGAATCAAATTAAATCGGCTGTCATTTTCAAATCGTCTATCACTTTCATAGTGAACGTTAATTTTTTTATTTTGGACTTCGTATTTTGATTTTTTTTTTTCTTTATATAGATCCGGGGTTTAACTTATCAATAAACTATCAAGAAACTTATACCATTACTGTGCCTTTGTGTGAATTAATTTTGTTCGCTCCAAGAGGACGCTTGTTTTTAAGAGGCAGTGTGATCCTGCTTGTAGCCTCCAAATATCCCGTAAGCTCTCTCTCTATCCCTCTCCCTTCGGACTTCCAGTCCCTTGAGCTTCCAATTCGCTCTGCCTAGATATAGTTAAATTACTTGTAACCAGTTACCTTTTACATACGGTTAAATAAAGACATCCGACACACATCAAGTAAAAATTCGAAAAGTTACCGTGTTCTTATTTCGACTGCAATTTCAGCTTAAAGCTGCACTTCTAAAGACAAATTCTTTTAATTAACACTTTTAATTTTTGTGAACAATATTTGCTTATCGGCTTGCTCCTAGCATAGCAAGATGTACTTGCCTATATACAAGGCAAAACCGAAGCTGTAAAAGAAAGGTGGAACAATTTTTAAAACCTCACCGTGTCACCCAAAAATCTTACCACCTCACTCCAACTTTTCTATAAGAAACTAAGGATTACGTGCAACAAGCTCTCGAAATTATGTTTACTGAAACTGGTAAAAACCGGAGATCCTTATCTCGGAAATTTCTTCCGGGTAAGTACACAATTTATAGATTTTCAAGCGAGGAGGTGGATTTTTAATTGCCTTTGACTCCAGTCTTATCTTTGAACTGATTACACAGGTACACAGCCAAAAATTTCCACGAACCATTTCAAGTTTTCCATGATATTTGGGTGCTCCTGAGTAAAAGTCCCATACAAACTTATTTTCCATCACCTACAGGTTCCGCGGTATACCTAAGAATACAAAAAACCGATGTTTGCCGACATTTTGAATTACGTGGCCTATATAATTGGACTTACCTTTATTATTTTCGGTAGGACCTACTCTCAATACATCACGGCACTATTAAAAAATAATCCCAATCGTGAACCATTGCCCATGTCTTTGGAATTCGACGCCAAAGTTGAAACTCCCAAAATTTTCAACATTTCTGTGATGAAAAAACATTTCTGAGAATTAAATCTTATATGGAACTAATTTTAAATATTCATTGAATCTATTGTTCATTGTATTCTTTAATTTCGGTTTAAAGCGTTTTCATGAGGACATTTTATTGGATTTATTAAACGAATAAAACAGCTTTTTTGATTTTATTATCTACCCCTATTTGCTGTCAAATTTCAAATAAGTAAAGGCAACCTATAGAATGCGAGTAAAAAATCTAAATTTATATCTATATATATAAAAATGGAGACAAAAAATGTTACTAATGGCATCAAAAGAGAACGGCTGGGCCGTTTTGGCTCATATTTTTTTCAGTTGTTTGTAATTGCCAGAAGAAGGTTATTAAATAAGAAAATTTTGGGAAGTCCTTCCGGAAAGGTCGCTAGCGGCTCAACAGGTGGACACACTGTTGTATGTAAAATTCTGAAACACCCTACAAAGATCATAGCTGCGTTGAAATTGTGTATCAATGAACTCGGTAAAAAAATATTTAAACAAAAAAATCGAGCTAACGAAGCATTACCAATTGGAAGTAATGACTGCTGTTAGACGATCAAGACTTGGACGGCGTTCACGCAATGCAATAAGTATTCAGAATTCCCGTAATAGTCGGACGCAAGAGGAACGTACAGAAATAAATGCATCGATACGTGCCCAGATGGCAAAGCTTCGCGCTGCACAAAGACCACCTACAAAGATCATAGCTGCGTTGTTATTGGTTCATTGTCTGTTGTATGTCAGCATTGCAATGAACTGAAGTTTCGGTTGGAAACCCCCGGATTATGCTGTGCAGGCAAAATTAAATTGCCCGTTTTGGCTCATCCACCAGGGCCATTGTATTCGCTACTAAATGGAAATTTAGCCCAATCAAACAGTTTCCTAAAGCTTGCACAAAAATATAACGGATGCTTTCGAATTACGTCATTTGGAGTCGAGGTTTTTCATCAATCAGGCTACAATCCAAGTTATAAGGTAATGGCGTCTCTTTATTATCAAAATGAACAACTCACATTTTTTCGAAATTGCATTCCAACATTCAGATTCAAGGGCAAATTCACCACCGAGCGGGCGCTTTGTTACCACCACAAAACAAAGATAATAAATTCCTTCAGTTCTATTTCAGTGGTGATTCGGCAGTTGAACTAAATCACCGCTGTGCAATTTTTACTGCAACTAAACGTGAAATTATCGAACAATTGCAAAATCTTCTCCATGAGCATGAACTGCATTGAATATAATGCATTATGACGAACACAAAATCATTATCAGCGCTGACAAAAAAGACCCACTGGTAGCCATGCAAGACAATTTAATGCTCCCACCATCAATGAAGTCGCAGTGGTGATTTTTGGCGAGAATGTGGAAGGACGCGATATTGTTTTGAAGCGTCGGGATAATGGCCAATTGCAGCGAGTTTATGAGACTCATCGGTCATATAATGCTCTTCAATACCCGTTGATGTTCTGTCGTGGAGAAGATGGGTATCACTTCAACATAAAGATGGTCAATCCAACATCAGGTTTGTTTACAAGTCATCACTTCTCTTTGATTCTACAACTAAGTTTGAATTCAAATTCTAGGAGAAGAAACGAATAAGAAGGTCAACTCTATGAATTTTTATGCGTATCGATTGATGATTTGACTAGATGTTGACAATCATCTGTTAAGATACCGCCGTTTGTTTCAACAGTACTGCGTCGACATGTACGTCAAAGTAAAAACGGAGCGTCTCAATTTCATTCGTTTTAATTAGTCGAAGTTGCGGTCGGACGAGTACATTCACTTGCGTGACGCCATCGCTACTGAAGGACACGCGGCCAACATAGGTTGTTTGACCAATCTCCCAGCTACTTATGTTGGAAGTCCGTGCCATATGCAAGGGCAAATTTAAAGGAGAGGAAGTTCTTATCCCACGAATTCCGATTATTCCAACAGATCTTCCATTCCAATTCAAGAGGGTTCAGTTCCCAGTTCGATTGGCGATTGCGATGACAATCAATAAACCGCAAGGCCAATTGTTGGAAGTCTGTGGGATAAATCTGGAATATCCATGTTTCTCACATGGCCAGCTATACGTAGCCTGTTCGCGTGTGGGAAAGCCGTCATCATTATTTATTTTTGCACCGGATAACAAAGCAAAAAATATTATTTATCAGATCGCCCTCCACTGATTTCAAGTCAAAACAAGAAAGGAAGCTAACTTCGGCACGCCGAAGTTTGTATACCCTTGCAGATTGGTTTTCATATTTATATTATAAATTATAATGCCGAAAACAGACACTAAACGGAGTTTCATAACATTTTACCTATACTTATTATGTTTACAGTTTGACAGTTACAGTTTACATTCCCAGCTTTTCATTTTCTCTACATCTACGGATCACTTCTATGGCAGCTATATCATATAGTTCTCCGATTTTCATAATATCGTTACCAAAATTCTGAAATAATACTAAATGCTCATGTCTCAAAGTAGATGAAAATACGTTGAAAAACAACGAAGTTATAATTTTTTCTATCGTTTTCCCTATCGTTCCTATGGCAGCTATAAGATATAGTAGTCCGATTTTCATTAAATTTATACCAAAATTTTGAAATAATACCAGAAGCTCATGTTTCAAATAAGATGAAAATACGTTGAAAAACAACGAAGTTATAATTTTTTCTTTTACTTTCCCTATCGTTCCTATGGCAGCTATAAGATATAGTAGTCCGATTTTTATAAAATTTTTACCAAAATTCAGAAATAATATATAATGGCCAAATCTAAAAAATTGTGCAAAAATGTTGAAAATGAGCCAAGTTATAATTTTTTTTCTAAAAATTTATCGAACATTTGTATGGCAGCTATATGATATAGTCGTCCGATCCGGCCCGTTCCGACATATATAGCAGTGAGAGTATATAGAAGACTATATGTAAAGTTTCATTCAGATAGCTTTAAAACTGAGGGACTAGTTTGCGTAGAAACGGACAGACGGACAGACGGACGGACAGACGGACAGACGGACAGACGGACATGGCTAGATCGACTCGGCTGTTGATGCTGATCAAGAATATATATACTTTAGAGGGTCGGAAACGTCTCCTTCACTGCGTTGCAAACTTCTGACTGAAATTATAATACCCTGCAAGGGTATAAAAATTTGTCAATCCAACGACAGGTTTGTTTAAAAGTCATCACTTCTTTTTGGTTCTCAACCAATTTTGAATTCAAATTTTAGCCTAAAAATTTTAGGAAGAATGATAAGCTCTATGAATTTTTATGCGTATCGATTGATGATGTTTCAACAGTACTGTTTCGACATGTACGTCAAAGTAGAAACGGAACGTCTCAATTTAATTTGTTTTAATCAGTCGAAGTTGGGGCGAGATAAAGTTCGCCGGGTCCGCTAGTTATATATAAAAAAATACATATTTACTACCATTTTATAGGTTGCCTTGCTTATTTGAAATTTGACAGCAAATAGGAGTGGATAATAAAACCAAAAAAGCGGTTTTATTCGTTTAATAAATCCAATAAAATGTCCTCATGAAAACGCTTTAAACCGAAATTAAAGAATACAATGAACAATAGATTCAATGAATATTTAAAATTATTTCCATATAAGATTTAATTCTCAGAATTGTTTTTTCATCACAGAAATGTTGAAAATTTTGGGAGTTTCAACTTTGGCGTCGAATTCCAAAGACATGGGCAATGGTTCACGGTTGGGACTATTTTTTAGTAGTGCCGTGATGTATTGAGAGTAAGTCCTACCGAAAATAATAATTATATAGGCCACGTAATTCAAAATGTCGGCAAACATCGGTTTTTTGTATTCTTAGGTATATCGCGGAACCTGTAGGTGATGGAAAATAAGTTTGTATGGGACTTTTACTCAGGAGCACCCAAATATCATGGAAAACTTGAAATGGTTCGTGGAAATTTCACAAAGTTTAATTTTGTGTTCCTGTGTTATTGATGGTTTTACTGATATTGCATTTATTGCATTGCGTATCTGAATCTATCAGCTGAACAGCCAATTTATGGGAAGCACCTTTCGGCAATTCAGATCGTTTTCATTAAGCTTTCATATCGAGACAAACTTGTGACTCCATCCAACATACCTGGATCTCGTTTGTCATCAAATGACTGAGGCACAGCTTGACCCTATTGATGGCTTTCTTGACATATCTTTGTTAGTTAAGTGTCTATAATTGTTTGAACCGCTTGCTGGTTCTCTGCCTCCGATCTTGTAGGTGGAAGCTAACCTAAAGTTTATCCATTGACGCACCTGAACATCCTTAACATCCTTCTTTGAAGGGACTATCGATACGGGGTTTTTGTAAAGTTGAATGTGATCGATTAGTCGATAAAGCTTGTAGTTTTCGTTAAGCTGAATTTCCAAGGCTAAATTAATTAATATCTGTATTTAAATAACGAGCTGATACGCCTAAAAAATTAAAATCAAGGCTTTGTAATAAATACAAACTCACCGGTTCTCAAATTGTTTTCTCCCTCGATTTTAAGGTTCGATTGTTTTTCAAAGATTCATTAGTTTATTATTGTAATTGTTACTGTAGTGTAGTAACTTGAACAACAGCGTAGTGCATCAAGAGAGTTTAGGATAAGCAGTCGGTTTAGTGTAAATAGGTATTAGATCTTCCTTATAGGAAGAAATGTCCCGAAAATGGACCTTGGTTGGATTTAGCATCCATCCCATAGACATGAATATCTCTCATATCTTCCATATCCATATCTCTAAGTAGGGGCCAGGACCGTGGGACACGCACGAATAAAACATTAAATAGTAGAAAGTTTGGATAATTAGGGAAAAGGATATTTCGCCTTTGTCGCCTTCCATATATTATTTGTTCCATGTCACCTTTGCTTACATTATCGTGGTGAGCACTTAAATTTGAATGACACTGCCTTTATGAAGCAATACACAGATTCATTCTATTCTTCCTTCCAAGTCTCTTATCCGGACGAACCTCATGGGGCCACGCATAGGCCAATAAGGCCCTTAGTTATCCGGGGAAATTCCTGGATGGACCTAGAGACTATTTATTTGTGTTATATACTTTGTTAAGAACCATTCCGGGTTTTCTTTAATTTTCTAATTCTGACTAGTAATGTTCCCGTTCACTTGGGCATGCATGCAGCTTTTTGTTTTAAGTGTGTTTTAATAACATTTAAATATCAATTTAGTTGTGCTGCCCTGTTTGTTTGCATATCTTGCATTCCTTTTTGTGCCTCCTTCGTTTAGCCGTTGTTCGCACCGTCGCGAGAGCTAAACGTTTCTAAGCTTGCAATCCAACGCTTTCCCGTGCTATCATTCATTCTGTGCAGCTGCACTTTTAATTTCAGTGTTAAGTTACTAAAATGTCCCCCTGAATCAGCAAAAAGGCTTTTTTTTTAGGCGATTTTACTAATCTGCAATAAAATAAACGTAAAATGAGAATAGGCGCTACTGTCCGACGCCGAAAAGGAGATGTCACTAATGCGGCGCTTGATAGTCAAATAGTAGCCTTAAGCTTTTGAAGCTATTAAAGCTACTACGAAACAGTTTGTTGTTTTGCTGCTCTCCCCTGCACAAACCTTGGGAAGATGTTATAGCCTTTAAAGAGGGCAAAACAACAGTCGATAAAATAAATATAAAGGGGAAAAAATGTTAATTTTCTTATGTCTGGGATGTTAGGATATCGGCTTTGCCGATCTTCTGCTAATTATGTTCATATGTAAATTCGGCATTTTAATAATAGCTATTATGAATTTCTCCGCTTCTCTTAGATACATGCTCAATATAACCGGAATCGAGAATTATGAGTCGTTACGGATTTCGATACCAAACTGTTGGTCAGAGCCAGCCATGGGTAATGTATTGCGAAAAGATTTGGAGCCACCAGCTGTACAGCAAGCAGCGTTCGATGATACAGTAAGCACAGCTTTTAACATTTAAAAAAATTAATACAAATTCAAGTTTCTTTTTTTTTTTTACCATTTTCGAAGACATTTTATGCATCATAAGAACTTAGTTTAAACTACGTCTAACTTTCTTGTATTACTTATATAGGTTTATCGAATGGATATAGCCAGAAATGTTTGCGTTAGAGAAGCCTATTCGGAAATCGCAGTGCAGAGCAATAAAGCAAAACCCTCACATTCTGTTGTGTCAAGGAATACTATTCAACCTTTATCTTACAAAGAGGATTCGGCGTTTCAGTCAAATTTATCGAAGGAGAGTCAGAAAATTAAGTCGAAACACCGAAACAGCCTACCAAATGTTTCGGTAGTCGCCGATATTTTTGACGACCAAAGCTCGAATGCAGCGGAAGAAGAAGCGGCAAAACCGTGGTTTGCACAGGCCACCGCATCGTGCCAGCGAAAAAATTTGAGCACTGCAGCAATTCAGGACAACAATGGATGTATCAGTGGTCGCTTGGAGATTCGTGTCATTCCGAAAGGTAAATAACATTTAGGGAATAAATTGATTGAAATGAAATACACAAATGTGAGGTATATATATCAAGCGAAAATATATGGCTTTCAATAAAAATGTCTGGCATTTTGATAACTTTAATATATCGAAAATTTAAATTTTACAAGTATTGTACACTTTAATATTGAAAACATGCTAAATTAATACAGGTTTTTTTTTTATGTAAACATTGAATAACTTTGTCATTAGTGAACCGTGTGTTGAAAACCTTAGCTCAGTACAATTTTAATCATGAATCGCTTCACCTCGAAAGAACGCGCTGAAATAGTGACGCTTTACATTTAAAATAGTCGTTCAGTTGTGTTGACTTAAGGGGGGGGTAAGGTTAATTCGGTGCAAAAAAGGCCACTTTTCAAAAAGTTATTGTGGCGGAATGGCTAACGTTAGCTTAATGAATTAAATACCATATAATAACACAACATTTGAATAATTTTTAATAAATTTTGTATTGAAAAATATTTAGAGGTAGAGAAGTTATAGGGAATCTCCCGAGTCGCCTCCAAAAAAAGTTGTTTTGCGGTGTACATCCTAACAGTCCACAGGATCATCCGATATAAAAAAATTATACCTCATTCGTTAAAGGATAAGTGTCCCGAGGTATTCACGAAGAGTTTTTATTTTTAAAATTTTTCCCCTATTTTTTATCAAAATTTGAAGTCAAAATCCCGATTTTTGACAAAAAAATTAAGTTAATTTGTTAAATAAAAAATATAAGAAAATTAAAAATTAAAAAAACTCCACGTGAATACCTGTAGAATTATCCAAAGAAGTTATGTTCCAAATTTCAAACCGATTGGTTCAGTAGATTTTGAGTTATCGTGTACACCGATTTTCAAAATGGCATTTTTCAGGAGAGCGCTTTAAACTTTGCGATTCTCATGCATTGAACACCAACCGACCTTCGTTCAACTCCGCATAACTTTGTCAATATTCCTATGATCGATGTAAAACTTGGACATAATATTCTTAAGATGTTGAACTTTCAAAATAAAAAATAAAAAAAAATTTACGAAAAAAAAAATTAAATACCTTACCCCCCCCCTTAAAAAAGGCTAAATTGATCGGCCACCCAGATCTCCAGATTTCACACCTCGGGACTTTACGCCACCAAGCTTGAAACCATTGACGAGCTCATGGCAAATATTCGTGCAATAATCATTGCTATACCACCTAGAATGCTAGAAAAAGTTATGAAAATGCAGCAAAAAGGGCGGCCACTTGATGGAAGTTGTTTTCAAAAATTAGTCTGAAGAAATTGTGCAGAAAAATCTGTTGCTTATTTGAAAGATATTCAATGTTTACATACCGACATAAAGGATGACGCATCCTGTATCACTGAAAAAACTAAAATTTCCTTAATTCTCTTTTTTCTGGTTGTTATGGTCTGGTATATATAGTAGGAGAATATACAATATTGATACGATATCAATACATCTATTATTTCTGTATTCGTACAATAAATACTGATTCGGCTTTACTTTTCAGAAAGATCACATTTAGATGATTCAATTTATTATGATGCCTTGGCGGCGGCCGTTAAAAATAATCCTGCAAACGAAAATCATGGAAGTGAAGACCAACTCTTCGAGAGGCCACCTATTTACTGTGATGAAACAACAAAAACTACAGCTGCTGCAGTTATTATAGCTTCACCCGCGAGTATAGTTCATAATTATGTCACGACAAATCCAATTCATTACAAAGATACAGCCGTTACAAAGGCTCTTACCGAAACTCATTCTGTGAATGGCAACAGTATCGAGATCAATGATCAGACAATGATCAAACAAAATTTGGTTACCGATTCAAACATAGCGCCACTAATGATAGCCCCCAGCAAAATTCCAGTACGTCAATCAAAGTGTGCTTCGTGGGCAGGTGGTGAGTCTGCGGGAGGAGCTGCTACTACACTGGAAACAAACACACCTCATAATACCAATGCAATGGATACTATTATACCTTTTCGCAAAATTATACAATCGAAGTCTATAGAAAATAATCCTAATATGACGGATCTAACTCCAGGTTTGTTGTACTTTAAAGAGTTTTTATAACTGTGTGTGTGTTTTATTTTTGTTTTTTTGTTTATTTGCATTACGGTTATTAAATTAAAGTGGCCTTTGTGAACCAAGCACGTGCTTGTTCGCGTTAAAGTATAGAAAAGGAATACGAGGAAGGTTTACTGGCGTGCTGTCTGATTCTTTGCTTGGATGAGTACATAACAATTATCTAGAATGAGGAAACCGTGCACTGACATTACGGGACAAGGGTACGGTACGGTCGCAAATCCATACTTTGGCCGCTTAGCCTGCCCGGTCTTGCCTCACTCTCTCCAGGGATCTCCAGGGAAAGGCAGATCCAGCGAAGGAACTTGGATGCAGTAGACGTAGAGATCTTTCGAAATTATTTAATTTATGTTTATGTTTTTATGTTGTTAAGTGTAACGGTTTTGTTGTGTTAGTGTATCGGTTTCGGTGTATTAGTTTAGTAGTAAATTAATCAGTGTGTGTGGCAAAGCGAACTTTTAAAAATTTGACATTTTTAAGTTGACCTAATATGTTGGGTTAGGTTAGGTTAATCCGGACGGCCCTCGAGGGGCCACACATGGGCCAATATGGCCCATAGCTATCCAGGAAAACTCCTGGATGGACCAAGAGACTATTTATGCGGGTTTCGAGATCCTTGAATATCAAGGCGTTTTTCGCAAAGTCAAGGAGTTCGCCTGGCTTCCTCTTGGAGAGCCTAGGTATCTCATTCTTGCCCTCGTTAGGGCCGGACATTTGCAAATGAGATGCTCCAAGGTTTCGGTTGCCTCGGATTCATCACATTTCCGGCATTTGGCGTTGGCGGTAATACCCAGCTTGACTGCATGTGCAGCAGACAGGCAGTTGTCTGTTAGAATACCCACTAACATTCTGCAGTCCTTCCGCGGAAGATGCAGCACGTACTGATTGAGTTTCTCATTGTGCTCTTTACACATGATTTTTGATATTTTGCAGGTTGCGGAAATACTCCTCCACCTGCTTTTTGCGCTTGCGTCAGCCCGTCTCTCTAGCTCGCTTTGGAGCGTTCTTAGGGAGATAGGGAGGTTTTCTGCTCTTTCACTCGCCAGTCCAACGCCTTCCTTTTCAAGTTCGTCCGCGGTTTCGTTACCGTCTATGCCTTGGTGGCTGGGAACCCAAAGATCCTCACTGACTTAATCGTGCTCAGGCTAATGACTTCCTGCTTGCTAGTACATTTTGGAACTGACCGCTGATGATTGCATGGATCTTATCGCCGCTAGACTGTCTACGAACAAATTGACCGCCTCATGTGGACGGTTTATGCTCTGCGCAAGCTCTGCTGCTTTCCGGGTACAACCGGGTACGTCATATCTCGACCAATTGAACTGTGCCCGAAACCTTGTAGTGACCAGTTTCCTGATGCAACCAGACGTTGTGCCGCCTTTCCTGCTGTCAGTTGCGCTTGGATATCTAGGGGATATATACCGATTATGGTTTCGAGTGCTTTGGTGGGGGTTGACCTCAGCGCCCCTGATATGCAGAGCAGTGCCTGCCGCTGGGTTCTCTCTATAAGCTTATTATACGTTTTCTTCTCCATGACTTGCCACCACACTAAGACCCCATACAGCAGAGTCGGACGCACCACCGATATGTAGACCCAATGCATTAGAGCGGGTGAGAGGCCCCATGTGCTGCTAAGAATCTTCTTGCATGCATATAGCGCTATGGTGGCCTTTTTTACCCTCTCTACTACATTGGCCTTCATTTCAGCTTGCTGTCAAGTACAATGCCGAGGTATTTGACTTGTGTTTTCGGGGTCAGCCTGGTTTTGTTAATTTTCGGGGGGATCCATTGCGGCACCTTGTATCTCTTGGTGAAGAGAATAAGGTTCGTCTTATCTGCATTGATATTGAGTCCTACCTTCTCCGCCCACTCACATATCTCCCTGAGCGTTGTTTCCATGATCGAGCTGAGGGTCGATGGACAGACTTCCGTGATTATGTCATCCGCATAAGCTGTTATCTTTGGTGCTTTCCTCTCGAATCTCTTGATTAGGTCGTCTACCACCAGATTCCATAGGAAGGGCGACAGAACCCCACCTTGCGGCGTGCCTCTGTGCGCTCCTCTCACCATGGAAGCGGTGCCCCAATCTGATTGTACCCGCCAGCAACTTAGAAGATTTTTTATCCACAAGTTGATAGCCGGGGACGAGTTGGTCACTTCTAGGCGATCCATTATTGTGTCCGTGCTAACGTTGTCAAATGCCCCGGATATGTCCACGAACACTCCAAGTGCATACTCCTTATTGTTTAGGGCTCTCTCAATGGTGGCAACCAACGAATGCAGTGCCGTCTCCACTGATTTCCCCTTCGTGTAGGCGTGCTGGTTGGTCGACAGTTGTCTCCCTACATCGTTCCTGATGTATAGGTCCAGCAGCTTTTCCAGAGTTTTAAGAAGGAATGAGGTGAGGCTTATCGGTCTGTAATTTTTGGGGCTCACGTGGCTGCACTTTCCTGCTTTGGGCAGGAAGACAATCCGAGAGGTCCTCCATTGGATAGGGATATACCCCGTGCTTAAACCAGCTGTATATATTGCGTATAGCCATGGGCGACCACTTCCTTGGTCACCTGCAGCATGGCTGGGAATATTCCATCTAGTCCTGATGCTTTTATCCTCGCAAAGGAGTCTATAGCCCAGTGGATTCTACTAGAGGATATTTGATCTTTTGGGAGATGCTCTTCTCCAGTTGCTAGGTCCTGGTGCTTATTCACATCGGGTACCTCAGTGCATCCTGGGAAATGCGTATGAATTAGTGATGTTAGGGCCTCTTCGCTGCCCTCAGTCCACTGTCCGTTTGAGCTGACTCTGTATGGTTGGCTGCTTCGATAGAAGCTTCCGTAGTCTACCCGTTTCTGGGGCAGTCTCTATATTGGAGCAGAAGTTTCTCCATGAGTTTCTCTGCGCCTTGCGTATTTCCTTCTTGTAGTCCCTTGGTAGAACTTTGTATTCCTCATTGATGATATCATCTTTCGCCTGCTTGGCGATTTTGAAGAATTCTTTGAGTTTGTTGCGTCGGAGTGAAAGGTCCTTATTCAACTAGGGTGGCCTGGTCCTCTTTCTTGTGTCCGATATAGGTCATGATGCGTGGTTCGCATCTAGCAGCTCTTTGGAGAGGGTCTCTAGGGACTACTATGCCCGGAGAAATCGCAAGCCGTGTCGCGATAGTCTCCTTGAACATTCCCCATTCCCCAACTGATTGTTTTGGAGAGTGTTCGAATGCGTATGGGAACCGTATGTACTTATGATCTGAGAAGGATGGTCTCTCAAGGACTCTCCATTCTGATACCAAAGTACCTAATATATTCTGTTCGATTTGTAGAAGAGTTAACCAAATCGTGTTCTTACACTCGAATCGCTTTTTATACCTGTTACATTGTCTCCATCTTGTCCAAAGAATTTTTCAAAGAAAATTTAATTTGCTAAGTATAGAATTCAAGTCCGTCTCAGGACATTTCGATTTGTCAATAACTTTCTCAACAAGAAAGAAAGCAAGCTTCGGCACTAAGAATTCGGTATTAGAAATTGATCCATTCTGGTCAATTTTATAGAACAAATCAAGGAAATAAAATAATAAATAAATATTATAATTTAGTTTGGTTGAAACGGAAATTCTGAAATAATTAAAACTGGCCTTATTTCAAAAATGGTAAAAATATGTCGAAAAAACAACTAAGTTATAATTTTTTTCTAAAAATGTGTCGATCATTTCTATGGCATTTATATAAAATAGTCGTTTGATCCGGCTGATTCTGGCTTATACATAATTGAGACTAGTCAAAAGACTATCTGCAAAGTTTCATTCAGATAGCTTCAAAACTGAGAAACTAGTTTGCGTAGACACGGACAGACGGACATGGCTAGATCTACTTGGCTGTTGATGCTGATCAAGAATATATATACTTTATAGGGTTTGTATCAAATAGAGATGGCAGCCGTATGATTTGTATGATAATAAGATGTAAAAATACTAAGTCGTAATGAGCTGTTATTTCTTAATGCAATTTCTTACTTACGGTTACTTTAGGACTACGTCGACGCCGAGAATCAACGGAAGGAAAATATGTTACCGATCCAACTCAGCTGCAACTGAGATTTCAAAGACCCCGATCCAGGACATCCAGTCGGTATGTTTAATAGATTATTATTTTCAACAGTACCCTTTATTTTGTTGTTGTAACATCTCTTTAAAGAACTCGTGGCATTCCCAACTCAATGTTGGGAGACGGAGACTTTGATGATAATGGAACACTGGTAAACGAAGCTGATTTCGGATCTATGTTGGAGCAAAATGAACAAAAATCCAACAATATGCGAACGAGTGATAAATATTCCTCGGAGTGCAACATTTCACCACCGCCAGGAGATCCAAAAATGGAAAATAGCGCCCGACTACGACGGTATAGACATAATAACCTAGAATAATCGCCATAACCATTAATAGTTAGAACAATAATTGGAATTTCCAGCCGTGCTTCGGTTATCGCTAAAAGGGTTGTGATATTTATCAATATAAATCAGCTTAGTGAAGAAATCCTGTTGTCAACCTCATACTTCACTTCTACTGTTTTATAAAGGGTAAAATACAACGGTTTCTCGACATAGCCAGCTGACCCATCAGCATTGCTGAGAAATCATGCGTTAAATTTCTGAACAAAATGCTATCTATATTAAACAGAGTTTAACGATAATCGAAGCAGGGATAATAATCCTATTAACGGAGAAATACCAGGATTACGCCATAATAATTAGCTCTATTTAACGGGGGAAAAAAGATAACTTTTTTAAAAAAATCGTTTTTTCTATTTGACATTGTTATTTTATATTTTTTTTATTTTATTTAACGTCATTTCTAAAATTATATCACAAAGTATTTAATACTTCGCTTAATTCAGTGGAAGAAAAATCGGTAGAAAAAAGTGTTTATATGAAGACTATGAGTTTAAAGTCGGTTATTCCTCGATAATTCGACATTTTAGACATTTTTTCGGGATAAAATCTACCACAAATTGGTAAACCATTTTTTTTAAAGTAAACTATTTATAGTCGCGATCTGTTAAACCATTTTTTACCTCTATTTAATTCCAAACAAAACACATCCTATTATGAGTTATTTTTAGTAATCCTTTTCTAATGGTTTAAAGGTTTAAAGGTTTGATCTAAATATTTATTATTTATATTCTCTTTAATATTATTTGATTGTTGCTACTGAGACTTTTGATAGATGTATTTATGACCAAAGCTATAGAAATATTCGTTCTGCTCTGCTCGTAGTTTTGTGGCTTCATATAAGGTACCGTTATCTTACGCATGTTGCGCATTTGTTGGTCAGCAAAGTTTTTCTACAAGTATAATTGTAGCAAAAAAAAAAACACCAACAAATTTAATTTCGTATCTATCTTCCTTTGTTGTTATCTACATGTGTAAGATAAGGGTACCCAATAGATATTGTAGCCGGGTATGAACAGAAATAACATGTAGGAAACGTGCAGTGTGAGACTGACTGTGAGATACTGATACCATATAGGGTGAAATTAAACGTAACGTGGACATAGCTAATTTACATATGTTGTCTTATTATGTTCGAATTTATGAAAAACTTTATTCGGAAGACAAAAGAAAATGTGTACAAATTAAGCAAATGTTGACTAATGCTAGGCTCGTTCTGCACAACCCCGAATAAAACGAATTTTGCTTGGGAGATGTTCAACAACAAGATGATGCAGAAGTTACATATACACAATAAGTTTTTTGTATAATACCTCGAATGTTTGTTATCTGATTTTACTTATGTTTTAAGAAATCGATCGCAAACGGACCTATTATTGGATATCAATTTGCTTTAAACCGAATAAAATGAATAGAAAAACCAACCGTGGATGTATAAAAGTTGTATATTTATACACAGCATATAAATATTTATTTTTAATACATTTAAAAAACAATTTTCAGAATCGTTTGAAAAATCAATTATTTTATAACAATATGTTAAAAATAGGGAAGTTATAATTTTCTTTTTTGTTTGTTAATGGTATATGGTTAGTAGTCCGATCCTGCCCCTTTCGACTTTGCAAAGTTCTCACACAACTCAAAAACTGAAAGACAAGTTTTCCTAGAAACAGACAGACGGACATGGTTAGATCGGCTGCTTATCGGAACCGTCTCCTTCACTGCGTTGTAGACTTCTGACTATGATTAGAATACCCTGCAAGGATACTAAAATCATTTACTACGCGTTGACAAATTGTTTTACGATCTGATATTGAGCTGCTATAAAAAAGGGCTAAAACTTCGAGCAATGTACATCGAATGCGGTAGCTAGAGAAAAACAACTTAATTTCATGTACAATAAATCTCAGATTATCGTTTAATTTTAATGAAAATTTTATTTAAAATTATGAACAACATTTTTTATTATTATTTAATTATATAAAACGTATGTTGAAATGATGAAAATGATTTTAAACGACAAGAAATGAACACAAATAACCATATTATGAAAATATAAATACGGCGAGATCAAGAACATTTTTGTAGCTAAATATTATAATGTAGTTTTATTTAGTTTTGCAATCATAGGTATTTAGAAGACATTGTTGTAATCTCAAGTTGAAAATAATAGTAATCTTAGAGGTAGCGAAATATCAGTTACGGATAAATAATAAAATGTACCCCAAAAAATAATTTAATTTATACTTTGTTATATAGTTTATATCTGCAGTTGTAATTTTAATTTGTTCGGGTATGCGTGTGTGCTGTTCTTGTTTATATGTGACGATTCGACAAGTGCTTTCTATAAACTAAGTTTTTAAGATTTAATTTAATTTATCAAACAACATAATATGATATATTATAATAACGTTGATTGATTTATATTGTATATATTATATGCTATCGTATCGCAAACAATATGTAATAGATGCAAATTAACGTCAATAAAATTTAATATTAATTCTGATACAACAGAAGTGTATTATTTATTTCATTGAAAATGTCTAAATCACAATTAAACATGTTTTTTCTCTCGGAAATTACCAAAAAATATATGGTTTTTTTCTGGTTCTGGTTTTTATATGCATTTAAATATGATAACAATTTGATTGGGGCTCTTTTTTACATAGGTATTTAAAAGTACTAACACAAATTCACAATTATTTGCACTAGAGGTTTACGCCGATGGTTAAAGGCATCGGCGGCGGCGTAGAGGTCAAAATGACTCGGCGGCGGCGGCGTAGTAGTCAGAAAGAACCGGCGGCGGCGGCGCGTCAAATAAGGCAAAAAGGCCATTTTAATGAGTTATTTTTTTTTTTTTTAAGTTTTATAAAGAACAATGACACTGAAGGCCGCGCTGAAGCTGCGCCGATGCCGCACCAGCGGCGCGCCGCGGCGCGCCGTTATTTTCATAATTTGGCGGCGGCGCGTCAAATAAGGCAAAAATCGGCGGCGGCGGCGGCGTGGCGCGGCGGCGTATATGTCTAATTTGCACATCCCAACTCGCGGAGTTCTTTTTATGTAGAAAGAAGAATTCGAAAGATAACGGTTCATGGGACAACGCGTATGGCAGGAGAAAATATGCCATTTTACATTGACTATAGCTTAAAAAACTCCATTCCAGCCAGATTTTTTCTAAAAACATTATTAAAGGCAAATAGAATTTAATTTAGTATGAAATTAATTTATGTGTATATACGAAACTTCATATGCACTGCAATGTCCGCTCAGCAATTATTATTATTGTTTTAGGATAAGCAATGAATTGTGAACTATTTTCATAAGTAAACATTAGCTAGCTAAGGAGAAGGATGCGGGTAATTTAAATAAGACAAAGGCGTGAGAAGTCGAAAGAGAAAGCAGCGTTTGAAAAACTACGCTTCTCCCGTAGTATTTCGTTTTGCTATTGCTACCGCTCTTACTTTGACGAGAGCCGTAGCAGAAGTACGGCGAAGCCTATGCTTTGCTCTGCTCGTAGTTTTGTCGCTTCAAAAAATGAAAAGCAGTGCTCTGCGTAGCCGTAGCCTTAGCAAAAAAATGAGAGCGAGAGCAGAGCAGAATTTCGTCATATGCTACGGCTTTATAGGGTATGCCGAAAATCTCCAACGGATCTGGTGCCCTCCTGCGCGTCCATGTCGCTTGCCCGTCGACCGCCTGGACATATCTGGGTACAGCTCCGCAAGCGTCTTGGATGGAGGCAGGACATCGATCGCCTCATGGGTTGTGGCTGCTGCAATCGCCTTGCTGGGAGTGACTGCTGTTGCTGAACCGCTGGAAGTGACTGCTGCTGCTAATGTGGTTCCCTTCAGGAACTTTTCGCTGATAGGTGGCCACTCTCAGCACCTTATTCATATATATCGATTACACACAATCGTTTGTTCTTAACTCTGTACAATTACCGATATTAGTGTAGTTAGTATTAGTATCTTATATTAATACTGTGCTTACATTCGGCCAACCTGATAAAAGATCGACCTCGATCTACAGTAGTAATGCTACAGTATCATTGTTGCTACAGTACGTTGTTCAATGTCTCAGTCTTGCTGGATCTAATACACTTTTAAAATATAATTGTGTTAATTGGCAATCATCTTCAACATCATTTTCATATCGATCATTATCGAATACTCTATTCACTTTATAAGGTCTGCGATACTTAGGTGCAAATTGATTCCAGGTGTTGTACCAACATTCTATATACTCCAAAGGGGCTTTATTTTTGCATGATAGAGTTGTTCTACTTTATTTAACATTTACCAATCTGCTGACTCCATTGACTCGGATATTTTACCTATAGGTGGTGATATTCCATTCACCCTTTCTACTGAGATCACCTTGATGTGCTCTATGTCACGTTCCTGAAGGAAAGTCGAAAACTATAGAGAGGTAAAACAAAATCTTTGATCGGAAATAATTAGTTAGCGCGGCTATAGAACTCAAAATACTATACTCATACTAAATGCGTAGTTTGCCTCATAAGTACTACTGTACTGTCCACGGAAAAGTTTGACAAATTTTTAAATGAGGTGTTTTCTTTTTGATTGTTCGATTGTACATTACAGCAGATAGGTGACCTAGTTTTTCATGTGATAATCTAAATATTATATTATAATATATATATTATTTTTGTAAATAACACCAACTAGTAATTCAAATGAAGTGAAACTTTCTTCCCCTACGGCTGTCTTTATATTAATTATTTCAGGGTCACGAATTTGTTCAGTTTACAATATTAAGTCAATATCTCTAGGTGTTGATTCGACTACTTTAATTTACCCTTGATCTAACTCTAAACCCCATCTGTCTTTACTATCCTTTATACAAAAATTATATTTCCTATTCCTATTTCCTATTTTGCCTATTTAAAAGTTTTGGAAAATCATGAATTTAGATTTCTTTTATTTTTTATTTACAGCTTATGCAGCTCAATGTATATCTATCTATATTTTATTTAAAAATAATATTAATATTTATAATATATAAATAATAATTTTAAAGACATAATAACTATCGATAATTATTGATAGCGACTTTCCCCTTCCCCTTCTTTTTTGATCGAAAATGGACGTGTCTGTGCCTTCTTCTTCTGAAGCTTCTGCTTCTGCTGAAAAAGATTGTAGTAAGGATTTAATACCTATTATTAAAAACCTACCCTCTCTCACAGAGAATTATTCGCCTGAAATGCTTGAGCAGCACGCAAAAGTGCTTACGAATCTTGCTAAGAAATCTACAGATCTTCCACGTGAATATAGTCAACACATTGCACAGTGGTTGCGTCCATAGGCCAAAAATAAAAAAATCCATCTAAAAATATTAAGTCAATATGTAAGCAATCAGCAAGGTATTTACTTTAATAAGTTCTTTTACTGAAATTAATTTGATTTATTTAGTATATGTTATTATTTCTTTAAATTAATTCCAATTTTCAGTGTATTGTGATCGTCATTTTGTCTGTTTAAGTAGATTTTTAGATATGTTGCCCCTTAATCCCCCCTTTATAAGTGTTATCAGGGTATTTGTCAATGTTTTAAGGTAATAAAAATGTTAAGTGTAGCTGCATATATTTGCATATTTCCCTATAATCTTAAAAATACTAACATAGGTCAGGGTAAGGTTTATAATACATATATATATATATATATATATATATATATTTTTTTTTTAATAAATGTTTGATATCTTAAAATTATTGTGTGAAATTATTACAAAATTAACGAAGTTATGGGTAGTTGAACGGAAGTCGTTTCGTGTTCGATGTATGAGTATCACAAAGTTTAAGCGCTCTCCTGAAAAATGCCATTTTGAAAATCGGTGTACACGATAATTCAAAAACTACATAACCAATCGATTTGAAATTTAGAACATAGGTTCTTTAACTAATTCTACAGGAATTCACGTCAAGCTTTTTTTAATTTATATTTTTATTCTAATTTTTTTTTTTAACAAATTAACTTAATTTTTTAGTCAAAAATCGGGGTTGGGGACTCAGGAGATTCGCTTTTTCTCGTAAGCCTGTAAATATTTTTTAATACAAAAATTAAAAAAAAAGTCCAAACGTTGTGTCATTATATGGTATTTAATTCGTTAAGCTAACTCTAGCCGTTTCGCCAAACCATTTTTTTTTAAGTGGACAGTTTTACACCGAATTAATATTAACCTACCTTTTTGTGGACATACTTATAACATTTTTCTTGATTTTTGTTGTAGTTTGTATTTTTATATAGAATTCGTATATTTTTATACCCTTGCGGGGTATTATAATTTCAGTCAGAAGTTTGCAGCGCATTGAAGGAGACCTTTCCGACCCTATAAAGTATATTCTTGATCAGCATCAACAGCCGAGTCGATCTTGCCATGTCCTCTCCGTCCGTCTGTCCGTTTCTACGCAAACTAGTCCCTCAGTTTTAAAGCTATCTGAATGAAACTTTGCATATAGTCTTCTATATACTATATACTATATATGTCGGAACGGGCCGGATCGAACGACTATATCATATAGCTGCCATACAAATGTTGGATACATTTTTAGAAAAGTAGCTGCCATAGGAACGATCGGGAAATTAATAGGAAAAAATTACAACTTGGCTGTTTTTCAACGAATTTTCATCTACTCTGAGATATGAGCTATTGTTATTATTTCAGATTATAAGGTAAATAGGTAAAATGTAATAAAATAATATTTGCAAGGGTATACAAACTGATAGCTTCCTTTCTTGTTTCATTTCCTTTAGCTTTAGAATTATAATTAGAAATTGGAATTATTATAATTATTATTTTTCTATTATTCTGTTGATATTTAGAATTTTCTAAGGAGTCACATTAAACACATTGCTATTGCACATTTATATTATATTTATACTAGTCATTACAGTCTTAAATTAAAATTGTTTTTCTTTTTATTAATTAAAACTGTATTTATTTATTTTATTTTCTTTTTATTTTTTTTCAGATTGGCATACAAAAATTCATAGCTTTCAATATTGCCCTGCAGTCCTATGATGGATTGAAGTTTCAAGTATGTCTTGCCGAAATATCTTCTCCTCATTATTCCCATTCGAAGCAATTAATAGCTGTGAAATACGTATTAGATTAGAATTGAAATCGCACAGCTCCGTTGATCTTCAACTCACACACACTCGCACTTGGTACTTGATTTTAAGTATTGGCAGAGCCGCGGCTTCGTTGTTTTTGTTTTATAAAATAAAAATCGTTTTATATTTTGATAATTTTTAAATTATATTATTGAGTGCAATACTTTTGTCGATGTATATCGGGATTTCTCTCTCAATATTATGCACATCATTTCTTCAATTTCCTTTAGACGTAAGAATAATTTCTATTTCTGTCCTATATTTTCCAAAATATAATAAATAAATTTAAAATATATATAAAAACCTAATTTGAATACCACTATTACTAGTCTTTCTTAAAAAACAACTTAAACATTTTAAATTAATTTAATTAATTAA